TTTGTGGGGGGGGCCTGGGTTCCTGGACACTTCCGTTTTTTTTTTTTTTTTTTTTTTTAAGAATAGCATTTGCTGTAATTATTTAAATGTTTAGTCTGATAAATGCTGATAGCTTAAAGAGAGATAATAATGGTGTAGAGGGTAGTGATCTTTTAATTAACAGCACTGAGGACAACCTTTTGTCATTTCCGTAAATTGAGGAAAGAGTCTGAGTTAATCTGCATTTACTGCTGTCTTGCATGCTGTTATCTAGCTTGAATGCAAATAATAATAATAATAATAATAATAATATCTTTTTTCAGAGTGGGGTAGGTGGGCCCAAAGGTGTACTCAAAGCTACATGGTGTTGGTGTGGTTATGAATAGGTAATGGTACAGGTGGAAGTTGATGTGATTGATGCTATTTAAAACTTAGATGAAGTTATGACAAACTTAAGATGAAATCATCTAAAAGCTCGGAAAATGCCTTTGCTCAAATAAGGATGGTGGGTACCTACATCAGCTGTATGAATGATAACCTTTAGTTAATACCTTTAAATTTTCTTTATTCATTATTTACATTTTTATTTAGATCACWTTTTGAGTGTAATTATACTCCACATTATAATGTAATGATAATGTTATTTTAAGCGCAGCATCTAAACCAAGACYATAACATTTCAAGTATTCAGTGTACTGCATCAATATTGTTTAAATAGCATTAATGGTGTAGAATATGTAAGGAGAGATGAATTAAGTTGTATTTTAATTGCATGAGTTGCCCAAAACCACARTCCAAGTCAAAGCCAAGAGTGAGGCTGTTACCCACTGTCTATTACTGGTCTATTCCACATCACAACAGGAAGAGTAAACTGTAAGTCAAGTAAGAAGGCAGAAGTAGAAGATAAAAGTGTTTTGTTGCTTTCTTCTTGAAATTTGTCAGAGATGTAGTTTAAAAAATAAGTGAGGTGGGTGATTGATGTGGCTGACATGGCTGGATAACACCGAGTCTGTCGTGTGAGCAGATCTGTAGCATCCGTGACGTTGGCTGCTGCTGCCTCCTCCAAAGTAAACGTGAGCTGAATGAGCTCTTTGTCCCTAGACAAAATAGTGCTTGATCAGTAGGTCAGGTTTTTCATGTGTCCTGTAAACATTTTCAGATTAAAACCCGGGAAACTGCTAGTGCCTTTTTTTGAAGTGTCTTAAAATGTCAGTTTTTCTAAATAAAGCAGAAATAGAGTCCCTTCCTCAAAGATCAAAAAACAAAACAAAACAAAAATACTCCCACTCGAAACTATGCAGAATGTGAGTTCTTTAGTCTAGACTTCTCTGTGCTTGCCATATCTTTACTTACCATGTTTAATGTTGAGCTGTAGAAAAGTTGCATGCGTTTATTTCAGCTGTGTATAGAAGTGTAACATCCCACCTAATTGATCCTGTGTTTTTAAAAACCTTTATCCTTATTTAAAATGATTCTCAAGTGTAYAATGCTATTACATGCACATACTGTACTCCCCTATTGTAAATGGGTGATGTGGAAAACTTTCATTTCTTAGATGGAACCGAGAAACTTGGCGATAGTTTTTGGTCCAACGCTCGTGAGGACGTCTGATGATAACATGACACACATGGTCACGCACATGCCAGATCAATACAAAATTGTAGAAACACTCATTCAAAAAGTAAGTGGATGCATTTCATTATTTAAAAAGTAAGAWCATGCGCAGACAGAGCAGCTTTCTCTTACTGAGCTGGTTTGGCTCTGGTATTTGTCCTTTGAATTCAAGGATATCATTTTTACTGATGTCCGTGATTGTTCCACATTTGGGTTTTGTGTTTCCTGTGGGGTTTTCACCTTTTTTATTTTAAATTGTAGCATGACTGGTTTTTCACAGAAGACGATGCTGAGGAACCTCTTGTAAGTATTGTGGCATAAATATCTGTGTTTTAAATTATCTTAGCTTAGAATCTGCTTCTGCTCTTTCTAGAATGTCTTTTTATTACTTATTATTATCACTATATGGTTTAATCTTCCACGCACCTTTCTAGCTATTCACTCCTTGTAGTAATGAATTTTTTAGAAGGACATGTATTTGTTTTAAAAATGTAAAGCGATATCGGAAAACTAGAACTCACAAGGAAAATGTCCTCAGGTGAATAATGCAATTTTCTAAATGCTGTTAAATCATAATGAGCTATTTGTGAAACGATGATGAAGAGATCTTTGTTTATTAACTATAGACAGCAGTTCAGGAGGAAAACACTGTAGAATCTCAGCCAGTGCCAAACATAGATCATTTACTCACCAACATTGGAAGGACGGGAGTATCTCCTGGAGACGTATCAGGTAACTCTTGCCTGGACGGTGTTAGTCCGTAGGCTAGAATAACCTACTGTCAACTCACTGTAACTTTCTATTTCTCTTTTCTTTTACTAATAAATTGCTTTTCTCTTTTCTGAAAGATCATTAATACACCGTAAAAACTTGCAATGTTGATAATCTTGCATGATATAAATTGGAAAACTTCGTCGTCTAACAGGAATAGAATCATTGAAAGATGAACCTCGCACATACTATTTTATTTATTCACAGTAACCCATCCAATCATCATCGTGAGGTGAAGCAGAAATGCTGCTGCAAAGTGGTTTGTTGTGATGGCAGAAAGATTGATCTTCTCCGGTGTTCTAATATTGCTCCTTCCCAGTGTTAGGAATGCAACAACAAAAAATAAAAGAATAGCTATGTGTTCTTGTCAAGTGGTGGACACTTTAATAAATAAATTGCAGTATGTCTGTACTAAAGCTGATTTCCTTCTGTTTATGACTGCCATCCTCTTTTGTGGCTAAGGACAAGCGCTGCAGGCTCTTTTTTGGTGACTTTTTCCCCCCCTTCCCTTCACTCCACTCTTGCACTAACCCAGCATGTTGTATCCCCCAAATGTGACCCCTTCGTCTCCAGCTTTTGTTTCAGTTTTCCGAGGGTTGTTCAGCACTTACTGAAACAGTCACTTTTTGCTGATGTTGCCACAGGCGAAGTGGGAGGAGTCTATCACACGGTGATGTCACTAGTGGATTCTGTGATGTCACTGGTGGACAGCTGGAACTGTAGGAAGAAGGAGGACTGTTGCCCACACTGTAGCTGCCTTGTCTGCAGAAACCCCCGTTTCTTGTAAATGGAAAGAAAAAAAAAAAGTTGATCTGTGCTGTAAATTTTCTTTTAAGAGTATTTTAAACAGATCAATGCTACTTTTTAAAAGTTTTTCTGCTGTTTCTTGTTATCTCTGAAGCAGACCCTGAGGAGAAATAGCATGGTATGGTCTACCAGTCTTTCTAGTCATAAAGCATTAGCCATGTGTCCGAAGGGGTGTGGCAGGGGGCTCAGCTCTTGCTTCCTAGGGAGAATGTCCCTAGAGGTGGAAAACCTCCAAGCTCATGTTTTGTAGTCACTGCGCTAGCCCCTTCCTACCCCCTTTCTAACTGTATAATCTTGGGTTTTGCGAGACAGTGAAACTATGGTGTCCATTTTTCATTTCATAATAGCGCTTGTTGTGGAAAAGTACAAAACTGGTAGCTGCTGAAATCGAGCTGTTTTGAAAATAAAATTTTACCGATGCATAGGCAGAGGTGGAGAGAGATGTAAAATTGGGGTTTAGCTCACCAAACGTAACTGAATTACTTCAAACGACTCAAGTGGCACAAAAAAAAAAAAAAAAAAAAAAAAAGAGTCTTAACTGCAAGAACCGTGATTTGTGCTTAGGGCAGCCAATAATGCCAAGACATTGGATTCTGCTTTGTGTATCCTGAGTCTCAGGAGAGTACGCAGTACGATCCTGAAAAGGTCTCTCAGCTGCGGTTTTGCAGGGGCTGTCTTCCTAAAACACTGAATAAACATTAGTATTTCTGTTCTGTTTTTTATTCAGAAGAACAGGGCTCCTTTGCCATTCCTATCATTGAGCTGGTTCTGCCTACAATTCACAGCATCCTTTCATGGCGGTGGCTTTCTGTGGTGCAGCTTGCATCTTTGTGAGCTCTGACTATCCACTCTGGTTTTATTTGCTTCACATTTTGTTCTGTGCTTGTCTTTTTCCATAAGTCCAGCATTGTCTGTAGCAAAACAAATAAAACTTTGCACAGAACTAAGTGGATTTTTTTAAATCTTTTCCCCACAGATTCAGCCACTAGTGACTCAGCAAAATCTAAGGTAAGGATTCTTGAGAATTTATGTAGTTACAAACCTTTATGCATTTATATAAACCTTTGAAATCTGTTGGATATTTGCTGCATTGATTAAACTAATTGTGGATGTTGAGTGGCGCTGCATAGAATTTTGTAAATAAGAGGAAATACTGTTTCCTCATCAGATAATTTTGAAGCCATCCAAAAGCTGTCAGCCATAGCAGCAGCTGTGGGCAGACTCGTGCCCCCGTGAACCTCATGCAGCACAGGAGGAGGGGTAGAGGCTGTTGCTCTTGGTCGTGGCCGTGCTGCTTACTCCTGGGCAGTGTTTATGGTGCTGTATTTCACTGGATAAAGTCTATGTAGAACTCAGCCTTTTCACAAGACCAGTTTTGCTTCTGTGCAGCTTCTCCTGGTGTCCACCAGCCCTGCAGCAAGGGCAGGAGCTCTTGTCTGTCATGTAGCAGGATGTTAGGGATATCCACAGGCTTTTCCCTTTCCTGCTGTTGCTTGGCTAGAAATCCTCCCCAACGCTTCCATGCCCTATTGATGTGAACAGATGGGAGCGGCTTTGCTGCTGGGCCTGCCGTGCCCAGTAGCCATTGTGCTGTTTTCYTCCCGTTTAACCCCGCCAGTCGTACCCAGGCAATCTTGACCATTTCCAAGACCTTCCAAACGCATTTGTGAGGAGCTCCTGAATCCTAAGGAAACTCGGCAGTTGTCGTTAGTAGCAGGCAGCCCAGCAGCAGGAGGCCCGGGTCGTGTGGGCCCGAGGCTCCGTATTTCCGGAGCATGGCAGCGTTTGGTCGGACAGGGGCCACATAATCACCGTGGATGATGGTTCCCTTTGTCTTTAACCTTATTCTCTGAGAAGGTGCCTAATCAGTAGATGCTCCTTCCAGTGATCCGTGCCGTTGGATGGCCGTGCTCTGCAGTGCTGCCTAGCAGCAAGGGACCGGGATGTCCAGGGGTGTTGGAGTGTGACCACCTGGCTCTGCCTCTCCCCACGTCAGAGGTGCAGCTGGCTTAGTTGAAGCCTAAGCTGCTGCTGCTGATCCCTGGAAGCTAAGGGAAAAATCAGTCCTGCTGTGCTAAGGGGCTCTTCTGGAAACACCCACCCTGGCGAGGCAGGTTCCAGCTTTGGAAGGAATCTGTGGATTCAGAAGGAATTTCTGTGGCTTTTTTTTTTTTTTTTTTTTTGGTCATTACATCTAAAATGGGGTTTTGTGCAGCAATATGTTGATGATACCAAATGTATACGGCTTTCAAACTTGGACAACCTGGAAGAGGAAAAGCAGCAAAAAGAAAAAAAAATGCTGGAATTATTTAGAAAAGTTAGTCTTGTTCACCAGGCAAGAGAAGGCACCAAAGCTGCACTCTCAGGACCTCATCTGTCCAGCAGTTGCCATTACAAACTGCTCTTGAAAAGGTCTTCTTGGCTTAAAACACTCCGTCCTGTTAAGCAGTGAAACCCCAAGTGTCTCCACGCAAAAAAGAAAAAGTGTTTGTCAGGTGGGAGGCACTCGGCTCAGGTGAAGAGTGGGAGTCACAGGATGCAGATTGATCAGTAGGACAACATTCCCTGAATGTAGGCACCCTCCTCTGCATATGCATTTAAAGGCTCTCAGGCTAACACGTATCTCTTTGCAATCTGTAATCGGTCGTTCCTCTTTTCTGAACAGGGTTCTTGGGGCTCTGGAAAGGATCAGTATAGCAAGGAACTGCTGGTGTCCTCCATTTTTGCAGCAGCTAGTCGCAAGCGGAAAAAAACGAAAGAGAAACCGCAGCCGAGCAGCTCGGAAGATGAGCTGGATAATGTGTTCTTCAAGAAGGAGCTTGCGGAGCAATCCTGTGGCGACGCGGCAAAAGAGGACTCGGCTAAAGAGGAGTGTGAAAAAGAGAGGGACACGGGGAGAAAACAGAGGATGTTTATCCTGAAGGAAAAAGAGAACAGCAGTAAAAAAGATGCGAATGTTGTGAAGGAGAAAAARAAGTTGTTAAAGAAAGAAAGCCCCTTGTCAGAGGAGCCTTCACTGCCTTGCCCTGAAAACCCCCCCAAGTCGCCGCCCCTCGGCGTGCAGAGCAGCACCCCCAAGGTGCYGGCTCCACAGGCCCATTCCCAGGTTGAGGAGACAGTGTCCGACTCTGGCACTATGCTCAGCTCTTCTTCCCAGGCTTCCCAGCACAGATACTCATGCAAAAAAGTAGCCAGCCCTGAACTGAAGCACAGCGAGTTCCTAGCAGCTGATGTCAGTTCCATCACCTCCGATTATTCGACGACTTCCTCTACCGTCTACCTGGCGGGCCTGGACGCGGCGCTGCTGAGCCCCGAGGTGCAGTCGGTGACGGAGAGCAAGGGCGAGGAGGCCGACGACGAAAGGAGCGAGTTGGTCAGCGAGGGGCGGCCCGTGGAGACCGACAGCGAGAGCGACTTCCCCGTGTTCGCCGCGAGCGCCGCCGCCGCCGAGCGGCTGCCCCAGGCCAAGGGGGCGACCGCGGTGAAGGCGAGTCGCAGGAACTCGGAGGAGAGCGAGGTCAGTTGCACGGAGGGAAGCTCCACGCCCCGGCTGGAGAGCCGCCGGCTCTTCAGCTCCCACAAGCTCATCGAGTGCGACACGCTGTCGAGGAGGAAGTCTGCGCGGCACAAAACGGACAGCGAGGGCTCGGGGGATGCCAGGAGCGACAAGGACTTGCCTGCCGTGAGCAAGGTGTTGGACATGATGAAAAAGGGGAGGTCCACCAGCAGCTTGGCCGCGTCGGCCAGAGGCGAGGCTGATAAGCAAGAGCCCACCTGGAGGCTTAAGATTACGGATAGGTTAAAGCTGCGACTCAAATCGTCTGCGGATGATATGTTTGGAATTGGGAGTCAAAAATCCAGCTCTGCAGAGACTGCRAAGAGAAAAAACATCCGGCGAAGGCATACGCTGGGAGGACAGAGGGATTTCGCCGAAATAAGTGTCCTGAATGCCTGGAAAGCTCAAGATCCGAGTCAAGGGAAAGAGAGGGAATCGGAGCTTTCCGCTGTGAATCGGCTGAAGCCCAAATGCCCGGCCCAAGACCTCTCCATCTCGGACTGGCTGGCGCGAGAACGTTTACGCACGAGCACAACCGACCTGCACGCGGCTGAGCCGGGACGGGCCAGGCTGGAGGACACGGACCCGGCAGGAGCCTCCAGCGCGGAGCCGCCTCCGGAGGCGCAGGCCGACGGCGGCGGCTCCTCCAGCAGCTCGGCTTCCACGAGCAGAACGGCGGCGGCGGGACCATTCCAGGCACCGGAGCAGGTGAACGGCGACAGCTTCCAGCCCATGAACAAGAGCAACTTCAGCCCCGCGCTCGACGCCCACCCTCATAAACTGTCCGGCACCCAAGTGGTTCGATCCCGATTCTACCAGTACCTTTGAAATGGGGAGATGTGTCCACGGCAGCAATTCATCAGCTCACTGTTACACTTCCCAGTAACTGTGTGTGTGTATGTGTGTGCGTGTGTGTGTACATATATATATATATATATATATATATTTTCCTGTACTGTTGTCGTTATGCAGCCTTCATTTGGGCTGGTTTCATCAATGTGCACTGTGGAACTGTCTTCACGGTGCATCACCACAGCCAGAAGAACACTAAAGTTAAAGTATATATATATATTTTAAGAAAAAGTATATTTGATGGCTGCATACAAATGTTGAACGAAGCATCTGATGCAACATGCTGTGTGGTGTATACATGGTTTTACAATGGAGAAACGATGGCCTGGCATTAGTATGCAGAAAAATTGTTCTTTTGGTTTAGTCACTAACAAGTGCCTCATCATAAAGTCATTTGGGTTGTTAGGGTGCCATATTGTTAAATTAGAGAAACTTTATTACAAACAAATGAATGCATTTTACTGTTCATGAGTTTCACTACATTTTACAAATGTTAACACAGGTGGCTGCAGAGCTTCCATTCCTTAGGCATTCCAGTAAATCTCGGAGTTTTATATTTCCAGTTTTAATACAGATTTTGAGTTTTATGTGACTTGAATTTTTAATCTTTCTGTAAAATAAGTAACTTAAATGTACATATTACACGTGTATCTTTTCTTGAGATACCAGATTTGATATAAATGTTGTAACATAGGCGTGTAGATAGTGGATACTGGATGGAACTGGTTTCTTTTATTGAGAATATAATTCTGCATGAAGACCTAATGAATCCAAACCTGTATCATGCCTCTGTGCATACCCACTTAAACACTGGAAATAAAATTGTTTTGGTGACTCTTGCGTCATGCGAATTCCATTCTAATAAATGGYTTTAAAATGTCGTGTTTACAAGCTGCACTCAGCAGCTGCACTCAGCAGCGGGGGAAAAACCATAGTTATTGCCCCAAATGAAGGGCAGTTTGTGAGGCCRGAGGCGGCTCAAAGGTCCCGAGGGGCTGAAGGTGAAGATGCTGCTTCTTGCCCGCGTCTCCCCGTGTGATGAGCACGGCTTCTCTTAGCATGGGTTTTCTAGTGTAGGATGGGTTCAGTTGGCTAAGGGTTATCAGTTTGTCATACGGGCTGATGCCAAGGTATATGGCAAGTTGCTTTAGGTCTAATATGTTGGATTTGTAGCACTGGGTGACCAAAATTCTCCCAAAGCCCTGATGTGTGAATACTGGTCCATGCCCTTTTCAGTTCTGCTGGTGAAGGCAGCTTTAGTTGTGCTTAAGGGTCTTGGTTTGCCTTGGCTTTAACAGTGAAGCYGAGTTCCTACCCTAAAAACCCTTCTAAGGATGAACTCTGCCACATGCTGTGTGATATATTTATTTTCTTGCATATCTTAAAATTATTTCTCACATTGTCCAGCTGTGGATGTTTGTCTGTCACAGATGTCAGCCTCTGATTTCAGGCACTGCCACTTGCTTGGTCTGAAGCGTGTGGATTGGAGATACCCAGGCAGTGAACATGAGGAGCCCCCAAAAATGCTACTCTATGCGCAAGGAGAGAGCGGGAGTATTGGGGGCCCAGAGGTGAGGGCCGGCAGACACCCAGTTCCTGACCTTTTTATCAGTCCTGATGGTGTAACAGCTAACTCGAACACGGTGTGCYGGCACATGGTGTTGCAAGGCTTCACAATGCTGGTCAGCAGTGTCCTCTTTCTGTTCCTGGAGCTGTGTTTTGTGCCGTTAGTAACTTCAGAAGAATATTAAAGCATTTATTGAGCAGATACGGTGAATTGTAGGGATCTTGTAGMTGAAGCTGTAGTTGTACAGAAGGACATTAGGGTTCTAGGAACCTCAACACTCGTCATATGCTTTGGCAGGTACTTAGGGAGATCAAGTTAACTCTCACTTTGCAGCGTTTGAAAATCATTAATAATTGTGCTCCTGAGTCTAGATTTGTAGCTGCCAACATGCTGGAGAACATAAAAGATTTATTGGATTGACTGGACTCTTAACACAAGATACAACACAAAATTTTTTTAGAGAAAAATCTTTAAAACAAGTAAGTTGCAGGCAATGCTCGAGGTATCAGTGCAAGGGCATTGGCAGCCTCAGCGGTACCTCCTGGAGCTGCTGAGCTCCATGGAAGCTGCGGAGCAGCCGGACTCGGCTGTGGGAAGAGCCTGGAGGAAGCCGGGGCCGTTGGTGGTGGAGCGGGGTGGGGGTGGCCGCTGTCCCCTGTGTGGGCAGGTTGGATCTTGCTGGAGCTAATGGGGCCAGCGGAGACGGGAGGGAAGGAGGCCACGAGGCAGCCCCTGAGCGGGAGGGGAGGTCAAACCGCCTGGGCCTGAAGGGAGCCAGGCTGAGAGTGAGGTGAGCGGAGAGATCCGCCGGGAGGGAGGAGGACACGGTCGTACTGGGCTCTGTTGGAGCAGTCTCACTAGGAATGAAGGGCAGTGGCTGTAGAGAGCTGCGCTCTGGTGTTGGAGGTGGGTGCCGGGATTTAGGAGCACCGGGAGCAGCTGCTCCGAAGGGCTGAGGTTGGAGGGCAGCGTTGGAGGCCGCCAGGTTCAGCCCCCTTCTTGTGGCCCAAACCACGTCCAGTTGGGTCCRAGTGTCTCCCAGGGTGAGGCAGGCTCGCTGGGTAACAGCTCCAATTTTCAACCATCCTCCCAGTAAAAAATATAAGGGGTTTTTCCTTATATTTGAGTGGATTTTCTTGTGTTTCCTGCCCATTGCCTTTTTACTAGTTTTTGTCAGGTTTCGTATCAGCAGGAAAATACTTAAGAATTGGAAGAGTGCATGGAGCTCTGTAGTTACAAGTTATTAGAAATGGGCCCAAGCTTGGAGCTGATAGGAAAACAAATAAATAAAGGAAAAACTGTCTTGTTAGTGATAGCATTTGTATCTCCATAACATCTTTCTTTAAGCAGCATTTGCTAGTTTGGAGGGTCAGTGGTTTAATTTGGAATGCTTTTCAAGGGATCTAGTAGGAGATCTGCAGCATCTTCCAGCTCCGAAGGCCTTGTGGTCCCCACTAGCATCCCTCACAGCCCTGATAATCTCTTCCTGTCTTTATTATCTGACTTGGCACCACTTGGTCCATTCAGAAAGTTGGAAATGTGACYCCCCMCACACACACACCATCAGCTAGGAAAAGCCTTGGAGAGCGGGTTGGTTTGTTTTTGTTTGTTTTTTTAACTGTAGTGAGTGGACTGTGCCTGCACGTGTAAGGAAGAGCAACTCRCTGGGTGGCTGGGAGCAGGGAATGGATTAAAACAGGACTGCGGCCTGAAGTAAGTGGTGCAGGTAACAGGCTCTCCAGCTGGGAGATTTTAAGTCGTATCTGCCTTAGTCCCGTGTTCCCTCCCTGTGCGTCTCCAGGCTTGGTAGGAGAGCTGCCTCGCAGCTGGGGCGCACGGAGGGGTGACCCTGAGCCGATGGGGACAGAAACGCCGCTTTTGGTCCCATCCCCAGAGCTCTGGGCACTGCTGAGCAGCTTCAGCCCCTGGTTGTTTCCCCGAGCACTGAGGGTCTGTCCCGCCAGGGCCACTGCAGCATTCCCGCTGCTGCAGCACGGCCGCCTCCGCACCGCRGGCCGAGGTACCTGGGGCTAATGGGGATAGTCTTTAACTCCAGCCTGGGAAGGGGGCCGGTGTCCGAGGGAGCAGCCGTGAAACACAGCTCAGGTGTCCCGTGTGGACTAAACCTGCGCGGGTGGTTGAAGAGGGAAGAGGCGACACCTCCTGCCATGAAAACTGAGCGCCCGCCGCTCGGCCGCGCAGCTCTGCCCTGGGAAAAGCTGCGGATTGTACCTTGGAGTCCACTGCTTCTGTACAGCTCTGCTCTGGGGGAAAGAAAGAAAGTCACTTTTTCCACTGCTGRTTTAACTCCCCAAGGCAAACCCCTTAAATGCTATTTCAGACCCTTCTAAAAGTTACTGGTGACAAAATACAGAATTATAAGCATGCAGCCCTTTATTTCTGTAAAGATCTTTGCTTATCATAGTTCTGTATATTACATTATGGTGTCATACAAATAAATTTATTTACAAAACCATGAGCTCTATGCAGGCAGGTTGCTTTTTTTCCTTTCTGCTCTCCATCTTTTTTAACTCTTCCCCATATATATTTTGAAAGCATGCATAAAAATTAACTTTGGTGTGGTAAAACTACTCTATGTGCCCAGCCACATACAGTATTTATTTATTTATATATATTTATAGATATGTACAAAAGTTTGCCAGTATACAGAACAGTACAGAAGTGTACATTTTAAAATCCACAACGCAATACATTAACAGGTTACCAGGTCTCAGTAAAATCAAACTGAAAGAAAAGGGTGGATTTAGCTAAGGGAGGAAAAAAAAAAGAAAAGAAAAAAATAACCAGCCACTACCTAGATGTGTAAAACAATTTATTTTTTTTCTTGGCTTGGCAAATCTTAAATATAATCTGACCGGCAGTGCAATAGGTTGATTGCCTCATACGCACGCTCTGCTCCGTGTGTAGAGGGCTACTGTCCCGCATACTACTCCAAATGTACATCAGCTTAGTATCAAAATGTTTTGGCAAAAGGAGCTCGAAAGGAACCATGACATTTGTTGACAAAAATAGAAATCTGTAACAAAGCTAAATAACACCAAAATAAAAGAAAAAAAATACTTTAGTTTTCAGTTTTACAGCTGTGTTTCATCACACTTTAGTATATCTCTGCTTGCTTCTAGTCCCCGTAATGAAAAATAGCTTTATACAAACCCGCTTGCTGCAGGGTTCACGGCCCAGCTCCCCACTCACCCCCRGGCACTCACACTCAGCCTCACTCGCACTCTGGGGAGCGGGGCTGCTGCTGGGGAGGGGGGAAGGGTCCGTGAGCATTAACAACAGCAACAACGTTTTACACATTAAAAAGAAAAACTTCACTCTAATCACCTAGGGTATTAATCCAGTATTGAGCACATGATTAGTATTAAGCCTCCAGCAAAACTGTTACATTCCCTGGTTAAAATATTGGCTGCAGGTGATTGGGACCAACGACCAAAAATAATAATAAAGCAAACYGAAAGGAACAGCCGAGAGCCCTGGTGCGCTTGGGCACGCGGCGCGCTCAGCCTTTAGGAGGGCTCCTTGGCCGCAGATGGGGCGGACTTGCCGGCATTCCCGTTGTGGGCCTTGTAGCTGGTGAAGCTGGGAGTGTGGATGGTCCGGACGCTCCTGCCGGGCGGGCTCAGCGCAGCGGGGCAGGCGGAGGACAGGGAGGAGGCGGCGGGGGGCGGGCGGCCATTTTGTGTCTGCAGCGAGAAGGACGGCGGGTGGCCCTTGCCAGGGAAAGCCGGGCTTGGGAACTTGGAGGAGCCGTTGGCCACGGAGGGGATCAGGGAGGCGGGGTGGGGGGCGCGACCTGTCTGAGCAGCGAGAAGGTTAGAGGCGGGAGCGGGGGTTTTGGCGGGCGCGGGAAGGGGGTTAGGGCTGTCACCGCTGGGAGCGGCCGCGGAGCTGCTCTTCCCAGAAGTGGGAGAAAAGGCTGGGATCTTAGAAGCAGGTAGGGGAGGGGAAGTAGCCTTATAGTCCCCACCAGCTTTCTTAGCACTTCCATTAGCCTGCAAATAAAGACGGCAGGAGACAGGTTGTCAGAAAGCCAGTAACAAGACACATCAACGGGAGCTGGGAAAAGGGCCCTACCGCAGACAGGATCGAACAGGTCGCGACCCGAGTCCTGCGGCYGCGGCCCGGACCTGGCAGAAAACCCAACGCGCCCAACGGAGGCTGCGGAGAGCGGACGGGAGGCGCGAAGCTTTCGTGGCCGCTCACGATGGGTGGTTTACAGCCCGCTCGCTGCACTGGCCATGCTCGGGGCTGCTGTTAATGTGTGAACAGACACGTCTCGCTGCAGAGGCAACGTGCACCCAACGCCATGGAGAACAGCGCCCGGTTAGTACGCGCGGCGCCGCTACGGGCCTCCGAACAGCAACGCTCCCACGGAACCGCCGCGTTTACCAAGGGGGAAGGAACCAGCTAGGTGACATCTCAGAAGAACTGCCGAGGACCGGAGTGAAGGGGGAAGAAACAAAAGAGCAGGTGTTTTATTGCAGACGTGCATGCATAAGTATGGTGAAAAGATCATTAGATACTCTCATGCCCCCAGGATCCAGGACGTCCGGTTAGACCTCGCTTGAAAGAGACACCGCCGGTATTTGGTATCGTGTCAGTCAGTTACCGCCGTTTTTGAACAACAGACAACACTAGGAGTCCATCCAAAGGGCGGGTTTAGGGTAAAACTACCTGTCTGTACTGGCGTGGGTCCTGGAGCTTGTGCTGCTTGCTGGCTTTCTCCATGCTTCCTTGCCTACTCTTCGAAGCCATGGGCACAGGCATCCTGCTCGTCTGCGAGGCCRCGCTCGAGCCCTGTGGGAAGGGTTGGAGGGCAGGGAGGGGAGACAAGGAAAGGGCCTCATCAGTACTGGGGTGTTGGGAGAGGAGGCCGCACGTCATGCGYAAAAGTAAATAAATGAATGAAATTTTAAAAGCCGCAGTACTACATGCAGGGCAGAGTTCAGGAGTCACACCACAGGTGTTAATGCCAAGAATCAAATGGAGGAAACTGCTCAACTACTGATCAAACTGGATTCCACGTCAGTGACACTTGTCATTTCACACAGCGGATTATTTGACCCAGCTCCCCGGCGTTGCCCGTCACCAATCAGCAGCAAAGGTAAAAACAACGCTCAGTAGCTGTTAGACACCTCATGGGGAGACCAGACAAGCCACCTGAAAGGAAGCAAACAAATCACAAGACCCTCTGGTTTACGGTGATTATCGCAGGTTTTTTAGAAAGCGGCTGGATTTTGTGATTTCGGAGGCTAAGGTACCTTACGTGACGCGGCCGGGACTGGCGGAGGGGGCTCTGCGCCAGCGGGGCTCTCATCCAGCACTGCCAGCTCTGGAGCTGGGCTCGCGGGGGCTATGTGGGCAGAGAAGGGGCCAGCGCTTCTCTCAGGGCTCGGTGGGCTCTCAGGGCCGACTTTGGGGCTCATCTCGCTGATGGTGCTCTCCAGCTGCTTGATGGTCTGCTCCAGGCTGTCCAGCGTGCGGTACGTGCTCTGCCGGATCTCGTCGGTCCTGGAGAGCGGAGCCGCGGGCCTGCCGGGCGCCTCGTGCTTCCCACCGGCACTTCTGTCCGCGGCCTCGGGCTGAGACCTTGTGATCTCAAACCTCTGCGCCTCCTTGTGCTGCTTTAGGGTGCCATCTTCTTCTTCCTCTTCGTAAACCACGACCTGCAGGGTCTTCTTCCCTGTCTTGGTGCCTGTGCGAATTGCCTGGGTCAGGGCAGCCAGCTGCTTTTTAGGGAATTTAAACTTAAATTTTTTCTTAGAATCCTGCCTGCTTCCAAACTGATCAGCAGAGTCCAAGCTCGCCTCTGTGTTCAGCCCGTAAATTTTACTGTATTTGTTAAAACTGGTCTTTATGTTCTCCTGATCCTCAGGAGTTTGTGTTTCTGCAGAGTCAGAAGATGACTGGAGGTTAAACATATACTCTTGACTGAGCCCATGACTTGCTGAATACGCTGCAATTGCTTTTCCGTCACTAACTACCAGTGGCTCTTCCTTCTGGATGCCAGGAATTTCATGTGCTTCATTTTCTTCCTCCTCTTCTTCCTCTTCTATCTTTTCCTCTGTCATCATTTTCTCTAACTCCTCATCACACTCCTCAAATATAGTAGAAAGGCGTTTATATGCTGACCTGATATCCATCGGCTCATCAAAAATGATGATGACCGGTTTTTTGTCCAGACACACTACTGGCTCTTCACTGTCCGTGTTCTCCGGGCGCTCCTTCTCCAGTGCCACGTCCTTCCGCGCATCAATGTTCACCGTTTGCACATCTCCTCCCTTCCGGCTCACTATATCATGGACCTCCCCACTCGAGAGGACCTGCACAGCCGTTTTGGTGATCATGAAGGCAATATTTTCTGTGGGGGGGCTGTCTTCGCTCGGAGAGCTGGCAGGAGAGTCTGTCTCTTCCACGTAGTTCATACTATTGCTCCGAGACACTTTGGTTCTCAGCATGACCTGGCTGTGGTTGGCTGTAGGTGGCTCTTGCTCCTGGGAGGAGTTGGGAGGCGCCGCGGCCTCCAGCGTTTGCCTCACGACGGGGGCAAAGCTGCCGACGGGGACTCGCTGGGCYGCGCTCTGCAGGGGCTCGCCCGGGCCCTGCGGAGCCTCCCACGAGAGTCCGTAGCTTGGCTGCTGCTTTCCAGTTTCAGCAGCTGGAAAATGGGATCCTGARGTATCTTGAGGCCCTCTTCTTCTGTCATCCTCTGGCAAACTGCCACCAGACAGCTCTGTGCTCACATTCTGGAGGGTTTTGCTAGAATAGTCTCTACTGTCTACCAACAAGCCCTTGCTAAGCGTAGGACTGTCATTCATTGTAAAGACAATTTTATTGTCAGCTCTGCTGGATGAATCAGAACCCAGTTCTTCTTCAGTTCTCCCTTCCCTCTTCTCCTTAGGATGATCACTATCTGAGGGATGTCCTGTTGCAGCCCCACACACCTACGGGGGAAAGTCGGATTACTTAGTTATTCAGGGCTGTCACTTTTGCAGGACTTTTTCGCCCCCAACTTAATCATCATTTTCGCAGGGGAAGCGCAGCCCTCAGGAACTCACCACTCTGTTTACAGCCGCAGAGACATGTCTGAAGTTGGCATCTGATTCCTGCAGCTCTTTAGGGCAAAATTCCAAATTCTGGCAGAACAGTGTATGATGTTACTGCTCTGTGCTACGCATGGGGTGCACCCTAGGACTCCTGGTTTAAGAAGGCCTCCAGAAGAGCCCAAAACACACTGGTTACATCCAACAAAACCCTCTCTTGACCAGCTTACTTTTCAGGTAAAACAAAATCCTTAGTTATATACGATGGGGGTTGAAAAGAATCAGTATCTGAGTGAGTTCTCTGGGACCCATGAAAGTGCGTCTCGTTTGTGAGGGCTGGTAGATGGTCGCTGCAGCTCCCTAGGTCACTGCAGCACTGAATGACAGACCCTGGCTAGCCTGGACAGTAAGTTGTGTATCGGAAAAAAGTGTTTTTCAGGTTGTAACTTGGCCGTTTCCAGTGCTCCTTCCACCTGAGCTGTGATGATTTGTCACAGTCATAGTTGAGCATTTCTAAATCCTCCCCACAACTTAAAAGTTTCTCTTACCTCCAAAATTAACAGAGACAGCCTGCACTTTTGAACGTGCAGAATGAAACAGATGATCCACTCACTTACAAAAGCGGCTCCGAAGCGCCCACAGAAAGCTCATCCCCTAGCTCAAAAGCAGCAGATTCCCAGAGATGTAAAGTTAAGGGATCTTTTTTTTTTGCACCTGGAGATGCTATTAATTAACAGTAGGCTGGAAAAGAGGAATTTCTTTGTTTCACTTGTGGAACATCCCACACGTTGGGGAACCTGCGTGTGGTGCCACTTACGTGGGACACATCCCTGCCGCTGTGGCCAGCCGTGGGGAGGAGGGCGGGAGCGGAGCGACGCGCTGGGGCCTGCGGCCRGCGCGGAGGCCCTGCCTGCCCACAGGTCCGGGGCGGAGGGCAGTGCCTCGGCCTGACACCTCGGCCTGACGCCGAACGCCCCGGCAGGACACGCTGTATTGGCAGTAGCAGCAACACGTGCTGAGCAGCTGAGGTGGACGAGCGGCAGTGCAGCAGTGGACAGCCCAGTRTGGGGCTCGCTGGCCCTCAGTGGGAGCCCATGCGAGCTCGTGCACTGCCCATGCACAGGGTTTCTCACACGCAGTTTCTCTTGTGCTGTTCTCTTATATGCAAGTATTTTACACAGAAAAAAATCACACACTGTGAGAAGGAAGAAAGTCGTAGACCAGGTTTACAGATCAYCACTACCGAGGATGAGCCTTGTTGGCAGCAAGAAGGCCGCAGTGGGCAACAGAGTGAAACGCCGGGGCTGCTGCTCGTGCCAGGCCCGCGCTGGCTAAGCAGCTTCCCGCTCCGTGGCAGCGTTCCCACAGTTTGGCCACTGCATATGAAGGCACTTGTTGCCCTGAATATCCAGACTCTGTGACTCATTTCCCATTTCTGTAGTCTATTTTTTAGCAAGTAACACTTCCTATTGCAAGCAGCAGTGYAACATCTTCGCATTTCATTGCACAATATATCTCATTTTAGCAATGCTGCTTCTTGATAAAAAAAAAAGCAAAACCCCCCACTAATTCTCTATAAGCTTATTGTCACCATAAGGCTAATTATCTAAAGCCAGTAACCCACACTGTCATATCCGATGACAAAACACAGCTCATCACTCTCAATTTCCTGGAGTCTGTGTTATTCCAACTCCAATAAGCAGCAGTTTGTGACAATTACAGGGCAGCACCTATCAAAGAAGCACCTGTGCTACAGCACCTGCCTCAGGGGCTGACCCAGGCTCTGGTGCGACAACACGACCCTTGCAATCTGATGCTAGTAGCAGTCTGGATGAATATAGAGAGAGCCGTGTTATTTTTTCGCTCTAAAATATAGTCATCCTCTCAACAAGAAAGCAATTTCTTCCTTGTATCTTGGCCCAGTTGGGTGGTGTCAGCTTTGGACCAGAGCTGCTGCGTGGGCAGCCCCAAGCCCTTGTGCAYAATGTGCTCCCTGAGCGAAGCAGCTCTGTGGAAGGACTGTCACACCAGTAACACATCAGGCATCACCATTTAGGTGTCACAGTATATTTTACAACAACTGCATTGCCCTATGCAGACGTAGCTCGCTGTGGTCAGAACAACTGGGTTCTCCTCTGCCCTGGCTACCTAGGGAGGGCCACTGTCCCTTTCCCTCTGCCTCAGTTTCTGTTAAATGAGGCYACAATGCAACTTCTTCTGTAAAGAGCTTGTGGAGCTACGGCCTATGCTGTATTTACAGGTTGCAAACATGGTAGGAAAAAATGACCCGCAGAGCTGAAATGCTGGGCTGATTCGCTGTGTTCTCCCTGTCACCACAGCCCCACTTCACTGCAGAGGGGTGTTTGGCTGCCTGAGGAGCTGTCCCGCACGCACGGCCTCCCCTGAAACCGTAACGGTTCAATTCACCCTTCCTGGGCTCTCTCTGAAGAGCCTCTCTAGACGCCCTCCAAAGGGCAGAACCACGGGCCTGCTGTTCACGCTGCTCGCTCACTGTCACCGAGCCAGAGCAGTGTCAACAGCAGCTCCCGGCCAGACACARCGGGGAAATTCTGCCCCGACAACCTGCAGCCGGCCCCTGCCGCAGGGCGTCCCGCAGGAATCCCGTGCCTAAGGCTGAGGCTTTGGCCCATCTTGCAGAAAGAGGGACATTTTGGACCATCCACTTTGTCTCCCAGTAAAAAGAATGTGATTTCTGAATATCTAATAACTATTTTTGAATAAAAGGAAAACAGACAAAGCAAGACGAAACAAAAAATCTCCAAAGTGGCCCTTCATACTGAGAGGAATCACCGATTTGCCTCACGGAAGGAGAAGGGCTTAGCAGAGGTGCCTCCCCATTCCCCCACTGCCACACGAGCACTGAGAGGCTCGCTCAAGAGGCGGCAGCATCTCTAAGATGGAAACTTGATGGACCCTTCTATAACTTCTCATAATCTTCTTTGTGCAATCTTTATATAAGTATCACAGCCGGTTAGGCAACACGTACACCGATACAACGCTCCATCTACACGTTTCTGATCCTACTGGGATGAAAGGAAGAAAACCACTGGGCTGCAGTGGAGGAGGGATAGAGAGAACAGGGCAGGAGGTATTAGATTAGTTTTGAAACAAGGAAAGAAGGTTACGCCAGACCAGGTGGCACGTGAGCAAGCACCACTTGTTACCTTCTTTTCCTTGTGATGCATTAAAGTCCCAGGCCTTATGTCTTTAGCATGAGTATCGTTTCTGGACTGCTCAGCATGACTGTTTGAGTTTACATCCATAAAAGAGCACTTCTGGAAAGCCTAGGAAATAAATACTGCAAGTTATCAGGAGGCCGGGTAGCTTTTGCACAGAAACCTCTGGAAATGACCAACTACAAATACAGCATTTATTTTTTCACATCTCACCTGTATCTTTTAGAATCCCACAAAATAATGGAGGGTCGAAGCTATCAGCTAAGAGAAACAGGGATGCCCTCAATTTGCCATGGCTGTTCTGCAGTTCACAACTGATCTCCATGTCCCCTTCAGGGACACGAGCTTGATTACTGTTCTTATAGATGGGGAAACTGAGGTATGCAGAGGTGTTGTAAATTATCCTGACTTAACTAGGGAGCTCATGGCAGCTTTGGAAAACTTTGGCCTCAGGGTAGAACCAGTAGTTGGCTGATCCCCTCAAAATTCCCATTACACATCACTTGATCACACATCAATTAATGACTAAGTTTAAGATATCATATTTACAATAATCAAATCTCAAAGCTCTTCAGTCCACTTACTGCTCCCAAACATTTTTCTGTGTTTCCCTTATGCTTTCTGAGCTCCCTTCCTGGAGGGTATTGAGTGGTTTCCTAGTCCCCTGAATGGGGACAGGCACAGCTGAAATATCTTTTCCTTTCCTAACTGTTCTTGTCTGCCAAATGGCCTAAGCCCTGCCTGCAGGAAGGTGCTGAGAAAGGGGGAGCAGCTGGGCTTAGGCATTCAATTCAGGTCTTAGATGTATAATACCCTGCTGTCCACTGAGATCCCAAGTTCATCCTGTCTCATGGCACATCATATAGGAACTACATAACTCTACTCCCTATAAATAATCTATTATTAAAACTTCTGCCTTGGAGACTCGTATCTTAACTACAGCCTCACGTGTGCTCTGGATGGTGATAATGACCTCCGGGTTCCTCCTGCTCCAGAAAAAACTCAGCACGTGAGTTAGGCACCACCAAGCCCCAGAGCAGGGCTTTACAGAAAGGCTTTGCAGCCTTTTATCTTGTTCCCTTGGGTTTCCCCAGGGTTGACTCCTTGGGTTTCTCCTTGTTTTCCTTGAGCTTCTCTCTGCTGTATTATGGGTATAAGTTGAAACACAGGCAGTTCCATCTGCATGTGAGGAGGAACTTCTTTCCTGTGAGGGTGACAGAGCCCTGGCACAGGCTGCCCAGGGAGGCTGTGGAGTCTCCTTCTCTGGAGATCTTCCAAACCCRCCTGGCTGCCACCCTGTGCCCCATGTCCCTGCTGGAGCAGGGGGGTTGGACTAGATGATCTCTAGAGATCTCTTCCAACCTCAGCCACTCTGTGACTCTGTGAGGGAGCTGCTCCTGCGGCACCACACGCACCTCCGCACGCTGCAGCGTTTCGGTGGGCTCAGAGTAGGGAAACCTACTTCTTGCTGGCAGCTCTCCTGAAATGAAGAGCCTTAACTACAGATCAAAGTCAGGGCCTTTTTAAAAGATTGCACTCCTTGTATCTATTGCATGTTTATTAAAAATTAGAGAATCAATAATAATAACATAAAAAACAGTGCAAAAATCAGTGTGTGGCTTTTCTGCTAGTTCTCCACCACATCTTATATGTACAAATGTTCATAGGCCAGAGCAGATGGGACCTCTGGGAGTGTGAGAACAACCAGCCCCTCTGCTCCTACAATACATCCCCCAGGCTTTTACCCCTTTGTGGGACCAGCAACATATCTCTGAGATAAGGGTGTCACCCACAAAGGCATCATCAAAGGCCGTCAGATTTTAAGTGGTGAAGAAGCCACTATTTTCCTGAGTAATTTATCACCTTTGCTCTGAAATACCTCTAAAGCAGCCTTTAAATATGGTTTGCCTTGCTCAAGCAGCTCAAGCATCTGCTAGATGAAAAAGGCAATGGGCACTTTGCACGATGTTATGATTAGCTGCACAGTGCACACCACGATTACCTTGGCAGGGCGGTCTGTTCACTTCCAGACCTTCTGTACCAGCCTTTGCAAATAGAGCACGCATGGACACACAGACGTGGGCGCAGCAGACCCAGCCTGATCACACTGATCCCCAAACTAGAAATAAAATCACTCCGGTTCTCACATGAACACCTGAGGAGACTTTAACTTTGCAGTGCTGCCCTCGGAGCAGCAGCGAGTGTTGCTGCAGCTCCTGCTCCTTTCACAGACCTGCCCTTATGGTCTGGCCTGTGTTTGTTGCTCTCCATGAGGACCTTGCCTTTCAGTGAATTCAAGTGTATTATGACCATTAACTGATTGCTATCATCTCTCTGCTCTCATCGTTCATCATTTAAGATTTAAGCTGATTTAAGCAGTAAGGAGTTTAAATGTACTTCTAAGCCACTGATCAAAACACAGGGTGGCACAGACATGGCTGATCCCTCTGGGACCTGAGTGCCCACACCTGCAGCACTGACAGCACTTTCAGAGCCCTCAGTCGTCTCGTGGGTATTTTTGCAGACTTGGTGGCGGCAGATTTTAACCAGAATGTCAGATATTTGATCAAACATCTTTCAGAAAAAACACACAGGTGCAATCTCCTCCATGCAGTCTAACCTGTTACCTGACCAGAGCRCTGTTTCCCTTGACAGATCTATTTTCCATCACGTTGTGTTGACCGACATGGCTCCATTTGTCTGTCTTTGGTTCTTTGGTGACTGAACATGAGGGCAGCAGTGGTGCCTGTGCTGCTGGGCACWGGCTGGGCACGTGAGGGAGCACAGCAGCTCCTGGGCCACGGCCAGAGCAGCACATCAGCCACGTGAGTGCCAATGCTGCAACATCAAGTGCTCCAGGAAACACGAAAACTGGGCTGTGGAGCAGAGCAGGGGAGCACAGCCTGACAGAAACARTCTCCCTGATCTCTGCTCCCATCCCTAACAGCAGTGACAAGGAACACAAGGCCACAGAAGTGACCACAGCAAACAGATATTCCCTGCAGTCCCACCCACAGGTGTGCCTGGAAGGATTCACCTATGGTAATGCCAGTATCCTGGAACACTCTCATCTCTTGGAAAAAGTGGATGTTATTTACGTAACGTGGCACCATGCAGGGTAATGAATGAGGAGCAGATGAGACCGGCAGAGCTATCTTCCTTCATATCCTGGGCTAGAGGTGAAGATGAAGGGCCTACCTGTAGTTCTGCCATTATTTTATCTCCTTCTTCTTCATCTTCGTCTTTTGCAGAGGATGCTGCAGCAAGCCCYGCGCTCCGAGACACGGCCTGATCCTCCTTAGGGGCTTTGGACTGTGCTGTTTGCCCAGTGTCCTCACTGCATTCCTAGAAGGGGATGAGAAGTTCAGACAGCCAATACAGCCGAGCCCCCTGATGCAAAGCAAACACAGCAACTTCAACCCCACTGCAATTCCCCTGGTGTAAAGGTCCTCTCCTAAATGCTCTGATCTAGAAGACTGTTATTTCATCAGTTCAAAAGAAACCAATCTTGATGATGTGATTGCATATATATGCAATAAAGAGCTTTTAAAGGGCCAGGCCTCCCTCCCCTTCTTGCAAGGAATAGAACACACTGGGAAGGGAAGCCCAAAGAGAATCACTGACAATATTTCTGTGAACTCTCTCAGTTCTGAGCTGATCTTCCCCAACCGTATGAGGTGCTCTTTTTATTTCTAACGTTCTTACTGCTCTGGATGAAAGTGGTTGTGACTTGCCCTCTGCATCGTTAGGAGCTCAGGGATGCAAGGTTAAGACTTCTGCAAACACAACTGATCAAACTTGACTGGCACTTTTGCCCCAAGAGCAGCATTTCCTGGCAAGTGGTTTCAGTAGCTCTCCAGGACACAGCCCTGTCTCAACTTATCTTGTGGTTTACAGACAAGCCCACGTCTGGGAATTCAGCAGCAGTCTGATTGCTTAGAGTTTGAATCATCAAACCTTGACAGCAGCTGCCTCTTTCCTGACGGCGTAGATGACGTCTCCCGATCTCGCTGTGGTTAGGCCAGACCCTGGCAGGTAACTGCGCCGCGGCGGCGGAGGCGGCGGGGACTTGGTCAGCTTGTCGCTCCCCTCTTCTGCATCATGAAGCTCTTCTGCAAGAGAACAGGGCAACACAATGTGACCATCCCTAGAGCAAAGGAGGGAAAGAAGCGTTTGCACCCCTGCACAAGCTGGAGAGAAAGACAATATTGTCTCTAAAGGTCCTGCTGCTCAGCATGCTGCTATCAGAAACACGTTTGGCGTTCAAGTGGACCTGCCTCCAATGAACACAAGCAGCTCTGTGTTTGCACAGTGAGTCAGGTCACTTCACCTAGAAATTTGCCACGAAGCTGCTGCCTGCCATGTCACTGTGCCTGGGATTTCAGCCTTGTGTGTAGAAGCATGAGAGCTCAGCACGCTTCTGGGAACCATAACTTCCAAGCAAGGGACAGGTTCAGCTGAGTGCCTTGCTACAGAGCAGACTTGTATCCTCCGTTGAAAATGGGCCCAGCGATGCAAGCACCAGCAAGAACCAAACCTGGAGCCTTCCTGCTGTGCTCAGCACCTCTGGCCACTGGGCAGGGCAGGGAGCGCCTGGGGCAATTGCACTTGTTGCTCCTCACAGACAGAATTTATTCTGACTTACTTACTTCCARCTCTCTCAGGAATTTACCATTTCCCCTTTGAATTATAACACAGTGACTCTGTGCAGTTTCCTAACCCATAATGACTGAAACACCTCACCCAGCAGCAGAGCAGCATCAGCCCTTGCTTTCTGAAGGGTGTCTTCCCAGAGACCGGTTGCTCAGACTGGCATTCCCCCTCTGGCCACAACTGCTTGCCCATGCAGTTCCCACCTCCTCTTCCTCATCATCTCCAGTCTGTATTTTTTTCCAGAATCAGCATTATCCTGCTGAAATACCCACTTCCCACTATGTGTTTCTGGTCATAGACCGAGCACCATACATGGCAACAGCCACTGTTTTCACACTTTTCTTTACACTGTTTATTTTCCAGAGTGACTGAATGATCCTGATGCAACTACTAAGCATGTTACATAAACAGCTGGAATAAATATAACTCCAAATTAAAAAAACTGCTTTGAGGATTACCCAGCTGTTTAGGGTTAAGAGGGAGCACTCCCTCTGGGCAAGCTATTGCATAACTTKCACATCTGGGGCTGTGACAGTGTCCTCTGTGCACTGCACAGCCACTGTCAGAAACAGCACCAGGGCTGGACACAGGCTTGGTCTGACCCAGCCTCATCTTTATTCCCTCGTTAGCTCAAATGTTCTTCAAAGCTGCTTAAGCTTAAAGAAATGCTCCCTTGTATTACACCCCACCCCGGTTATCTAGTAATTGCAGGATTGCAACAGGAATAATTTCCAGATACRCTTTACATTGCACCCCATCTTTTGTCAACACACACCACCGAGTTCTTTGTGACCCCCATGTACTTCTCCCAGGGCAAGGTAAGATTTGCTCTGATCTCCTGCCAGAAAATCAAACTCGATCCCTAAGATGGTGTTTAGCAGGTTATGACGTGCGGTGTCCGCAAATCCCTGCCCCTTCAGGGGTCTCGTCAACCCCTCAACACGAAACTGGAGGCAGGTCTGGCTGCAAGAACCCCAAATCTTTCCTTGCACTCACAAGGGACAAGGCTGGACACGTGACACAGGCAGCAAGAGGGAAGATTGATTTCTACCATCTCTCGTATTTGTGAGAAACCCCCTCACCTCTGTCTTCAGAGTGGGAAATGAAAGGGAGAAATCGAGTTAACAGAAATGGTCAGGGAGTGTGGCAGGTGCACAATGCTGCTCTCATTCCCCCGCTGGGGTTCCCGAGGAGGAGCTGCAACAGGCTGCAACAGGCTTTGCTCACAGGCAACACCACGACGACGTGGCAAGACACAGCGCTCGCGAGCTGGGTTTCTATCCTCCCTGCTAAACATTTTTATTTCCCTAGTCCAAAGGGATTGGTGTGGAAGAACCTTTGGAGGAAAATCTCAGATGAAAAGGCTTTGCTCTAATATTTTCTTCCTTGGCTGAGCAATTCCAGCATGTTTGAGGAGACAGAACCAAATGGAAATGTACAATTCACTGGGGCGGAGCCCAGGGTCGTGATTAAACTTGCTGCCTTACAAAACCTTCTCTGGTGCCAAGGGGCTTGGCACTTGTGTAAATAAGATCTTCAACAGCAGATCAGAAAATCTCCAGCTCTTCTACTGAACTGAAGTGCTCCCCACCAGGTGGAGCCAGACTGGACTCTAATACCCTAGTCATATAGCTTTATATTTGCACAAAAAAGATCCAGAATGTCTTAAAAATATACGCAAATATATGTGAATATGTAAAAAATATATGTAAATATGTAAAAATACATGTAAATAGTTACGTCTTCCTTGAGGAAGCATTTGTATTCAGGCAAGCAAACTGTCTTTACTGGAAGCTACTGGTAACTCAGTACTTGCAAAAATCAGGACATTGCACACGCAAAGGTACAAAGAGAGATGAAGGAGCCCAATTTCTAGCACTTTTTTTAGGGATATTCCTCATATTTTTCCCTGAATAATCTTGATAACAAAGATGAGCTATAGTCAGGAGATGAAACAAGTATTCATAGAATCATGTGCAAAACTGCACAAAGTAATTTGTTTCTCAGAAAGTCATTTCAGACACATAGTCAGATTCTGTATGGAGACCAGCTACAATAACATATACTGTCACTATATATGAGCTCTGTAGCAAAGCCAGCAAAGGACTCCCCAAACTTATGGCCCAAATGTCCTCTGCAGTGCAGGGTAGGTGGGGTGGTCTCTTCCCATATGTTTCTCAGTTTACAACAAAGGCTGTAGTGTGTTGAAATTTCCTTCTTGAGCTGCAGAAGATTTAGGTGACATGCGAGATATTTAATCAGGTATTAAGGAAAAGCTCTGCTATTCCCTCAACTTATTTATGTAACTATTATAGGATTCATTATGCAGAACAGAAGGCAAATGTCTCGATCTCATCAAATTTCTCCCTAAATCTGCTGGCTACAAACTGTGCAAAATTGTATTCTGGAAATGGATTAGTTAACTATGCAAGTTACCAAAGKTCTTCTCTATTGCTGTGCTCCGCACCAAGATGTTGTCACAGCTCACTGCACCCATGTGCTATTTATTTTCCCTGACGTTTTCTATTCATGCCACACATTATCCGAGTTAATTTCGTTAATAGCCAGTAACCTCACTCAACGGTGCCAGAATYCTAAAATTATTTTGCAGAGTTCAAAATCTGTATTAAATCTGTATGTCAATAAACATCCAAGCAGCACTAACTGGTCAGTGCTAAAGATATGGCCAGAACAAAATCCTGGGGATAGAAACAGCCCTCCCAGATGCTATTCACATTTATGTAAACAGGCCACAAGGCATCACGAATTTATGGAGCTTGCTGCCATGGGAGGCTGGGCAAGCAAGTGGTGGCAGGAGGTTCAGAATGAGAAGTCGTGGACAGCAAGGCCATAGCAGATAAGGAGAGCAGCAGGCTGGGGTAGTCACTCAACATCTCGTGTCCAAGAGCTGGGCCAGTACTAACAGACTGCAGAAAGTGGCCAGATGCCTTTGCTGCCTCCACCAGTATCTTCTCTGCCTTGGTCAGAGAGAGGGCACTAACTTGGGTGGACAATTGCTCCGACCAAACAGGGATTTTCTCATGCTCCTATATTCTTAGGTATCTGCCTAAGAGTTTTGCAAGTGTCTCATGTCTAGCTCAAGAGGTAAATCCAGGGTTTGGATGAGAGGGCTTCCTTTCCCCTTGAACTCTGAAGAGGGACAGACATGGGTTTGCATGTTGAATTGTGAAAAAATATAGGMTGGAAAAGAGACCCCATCCTCCTGCTGCCATGAAGCATGCTCGGCTCTGTCTCTTGTTCTTCATCAGTGCTGGTGCAACCTGTTTTCTCCTACGATGGACATCTTCTCTCTTCCTCAGACAGCCTTCTTCAATGCCTCCAATTTCCTTACTGTTAGGAAGCTTTTCCTAAAACCTAACCTGAATCTTCCTGGTWGCAATTTAAAATTTCTTCTAGTCCTTATCCACCAGACCCATAAAGCAGATTTACTCCTTCCTTTCTAAGCAGATATTTATGTAGTTAAAAACTATTTGCCTAGTCCTTCCTCCACTTTCTTTTCCTCATGCCAAACAAAACCCATCCTTTCTTCTTTTCTTTCTTTCCCTCCTTCCCTTTATAGAAATCATGTTTTCTCTAGAGCTGTGGTTATTATCACTGATGTCCTTTTGACTCCATTCAGTTTGCTCAGTTTTCTTTAAGGTATCAGACACTGAGATTGAGGATTTCTGTGCAAGAGCTCACCAGTGCTGAGCAGAACAGATTACTTCATGTGTCCTGCAGATATTTCTTAGATATTTCTGTTTAGTCACCCCACTACAATGTTTGCTCTTTTTTGCTCTGTCACACTCTGACCATGCTCAGCTTGAAACTCAGGGCACCTATAGCAAACAGCAGGCAGCCAGAATCCTTACAGCAAAAGCCATTCCTCCATATCTACCCACTCCCCCCAAAAACTGCAGTTATACAGAATTACAGGGCTTTTGTGGACCCCTGAGCGTCTAATCCAAAGCCCTGGTTCTATCTCTAACTATGAAGTTAACAAGAGCAGAAAGATGAAACAGTCTAATTTTTAACTTAATGCGAGTTCAAGCTACTCCTGCATCATGCCCGGAGACTGTCTGAGCAGCCTTTGGGAAAGCAACATAACATTGCTTAAAGGTTTGAAGTGGCAGAGAACCTAGTATGTTCACAACTAAAATTGCTTCAGCGATTAGYTACCCTGAACGCTGGAATTCGATATCTGATTTTTCATCTGGCTTTTTCTAGCTTCAGCTTCCAACTGCTGCAACTCGCTGGGACTTGCTTTGTGAAACTGGAAGGCTTCCCACCCTCAGAAACCTCAGGCACGTCTTGATCTTCCTTTGATAACATGTACGTCTATAAGAAGAGTTTTTAAGTTTCTGATGGCAAGACCATTCATCTTGTGCTCAACTCCTTGTGGTTCTTTTCCAGAGCTCTCTGTAATGCTAAACCTTTAAAGGGAAAGCTGGACATTCCCCACTAGATAAAGATACAGTGTASTAACATATAGATACTCCCAGCTCTGCCAAAACCAAGGTGTATTCTTGCTCTCCTCTGTTCAAGGTGTGTTTCTCTCCAGAGAATAAACTCTGGATTTCAGCACCTGGGATTCAYGTCAGTTGTTACCCTCAGTGCTGCCTGCGAGATCAGTGCTTTGGACATACAATCCTGTGTCCTGTCGGCAGGGCCTGTCTTCTTTCTCAGAGATGTTCTCATAGGTAGGATCAAGAATATAGAAATCTGTAAACTGAAACCATTTCATTAAATAGAAAAAAAAACCCCTCTCCTTTGCAGATAAGCAACTCCTTACATGGCACCATTTCCTTACCCGAGACTTCTAGCTTTTCCACTGGATCTCCTTTTGTCACAGTGACTGTCTGGGGAGGCATCTCCAGGTTAGGAATTGACTTCATTATATTGGCCTGGGCTTCTTCCAAGAGCTTCTCAAACTCCTTTCCATTATAGTGATCAAGGTTCTGTCGTTTCTCCTCCCATTTCTTTTCTGCTTTCTAGACAAAAACAGTAGAGCTTCTGTTTATCTTTCTGATTTCTGTGTGATCATTCACTTTTAAAAATCTGTGTAAAAACATTATGGGTCATTGTGGAGAGAATCTTTCAGTCRCAGTCAGCCATCAAAAGGAATATATTAATGCTCTAATTGTATATTTATTCCTGCCTCTATATAGCACAACCACAAACCAAACCGAAAATGCCTGCTGCTCACTAAAGGCACAAAGGCAAAATTTAAATCAAAGTCACTGACTTACTATATTGCACTGATGATTAAAGTGCATTTCTGTAATAAAGCATGTGAGTTCAGCTGTGGGTTTGGTGGATATCTCTGTGTGAGATCACTGAACCTTCCTACTCTCATTTTTACCTCTACAGAAAGAGGGACAGGGAGAATTACAGAGATTGAAATCCACCCACGTAAGGGCTATCAAACAATACTTAAACAACGTGTTATTGTTTAAAAACAGGCCAATTTTAAAAAAAATCATTTCTTTTATAAAAGTTAAACACACACAATGACTCATTTTGGTTACATGTTAATACACTGTCACATCTAAGCCTGAGGGCCCTTGCAGAAGTGCTTTGTGAAATTCGGGATCAAGCACAGAAATGTTGCTTTGGAAAATCCCGCCTTCCTTCTCAGGAGTGAGACAGGGAGCTTGGACCAAAAGAGCAGGCAACTGGTTGAGGAGAACAGCCCGTACCTCGATGGATACGGCTCTGTTTCTGGTACTCGCACTGTGAATCTCCTCGATGAAAAGGCTCTGCATGGTGGCACCATTGACAGAGACGTGCGGGGCTGAGGTGGCCTGGGTGGCCTGGCTTCCTGCTGCTGGCTCCAGCGGGGAGGCTGTGGAGTGGCTGCTTCCTGCTGGGCCTTCACCMGGGCTGGCTGGGGAAGGAGAATCCTGGCTGTGGTTGACCAAGGCTGATGAGTGCTGTGACTGATGGATGACAACAGGAGAGCTCTGCACGTGATGGACCGTCATGTTGGAGAAGGGGACGACTTCTGACTTGACTGATGACACTTGGGACTCGGCTGCAATTGCTGTGAGGTTTGGCTGCGTGTGCCCCGGGCTGTGCTTGAGCTCCTCCTGGTTCTTCAGAGCTTCAGTTGTGGTGGCCTTCTCCATGGTGGAGTATTGCACAGCTTGGGAGGGATCCACACCCCTCAGCAGTCCGTCTGTGACATGCCTGCCCAGTCAAATGGGACACAACATCAGAGCACAACGTTAGCACACAGGTCAGTCACAAGCAATGCTTAACAACGAGGAGCCCTCCCTAAGTTTTGCAAGGGAAAAACACCTACATCAGATATATCAAAATGGTGTTTTTTTCCTGAGGCACCCACTGGGGTGATTTTATAGCTTCCTCTCAAGCCAGGGATTCAGATTTTTAAACAGTACACTCTAACTTAGTTCTTTTTGCCTTTTAAAATGTTTACAAAGCCTCAGAGATTTACCTGTAATTTAGACAGGATTGATTTTAGAGGCAGAACAGAAATCAATTGCTGTTTTTTTTTTTTTTTTTTTCCACACGATAAACAAGAGATTCCTGTATTATCAGCACGGAAACTGATAGTCATACAGGACCTGAGGTAGCAGTTTAGAAAGTTGCCAGAACAAAATGTCAAAGGATGCTTCAGGAAGGTCTTGTCTGTCAAGAGTTTGGGGCAGAATGAGCCCCAAATTCCTGACCATTAGCTGTTAGATGGCTGAGCTTCAACATTCATATATGCATCAAATGTTCAATCAATTTCTCCTTTATTCAAACATCTGTAACAAGATCTGTTACATAAAGTGTTTTGCTCCTTTGCTAATAGTGACAAAACCATTTACATGGATCCAGGAGATAGGGGAAGACTGACAACCATAACTTCCTTAAAATAATGGCAGTAACAGTACACTTATGGCTTTAATTTTACTGTAATTTAAGTAAAATTGGGAACAACCACCACCCTTGAGAGTCTGGCCTGATTCAATCAGAGTATTCAAGAGGAATTAAACACAATAATGGCCTCATAGGAATCAGCGTCTGTTTCTTGCCTTTATATTAAATACACCTAAACAGTGACACTTAAGGTGCACAACTTTTATGACGTACTTCAGCTTTAGAGAAAGTATCTTATCTGCAAAGAACAGAATAGACGATTCATGTGAATTCACAAGAATTTTGAAAAATATTTGTTATTCCTTCCAAAACCTAGGCTTTTGAATTCTAGGTTATCTGTATCCACTCAGAAACCTTTCCTATGTTATTTTGTATATTTTTGGGGACGCACTTTTCAGTGTCTGATAATCTCTCTATTAATCTATATTACTGTAAATGACTGCAATTAAGTGGCATTCAGTTATCCCCCAAATTGGGAAGTATTCCGAATGAGCTGGATTCAGTCACAGCATCTAGACAACCCAGGCTGCTGGTCACAGCAGAACAACCACACAGGATCACAGGAAAGATTAATCCGATCTCCCTTCAGAAGATTAATCCCATCTCCCTTCAGATGGCTCTGCCAAGAATTTATATAATAATGAAAACATGTTTGTGTTTCTCAAAACCACTTGACTCTGGGGAGACCGAGAGAACCCAAAGCCAGGCCTGCTGCAGGAAAGTGTTTAGGAAACAGATTCACCTCCTGAGCATGGTGAGGACGTCGGTCATGGTGCGCACCCGCTTCAGCAAGCTGTCCAGCTTGTGGGGTTCTTCCTTGAGGAACCTCACGGCCTCCACCTCGATGCGCAGGATCGCGCGCATTTTGTTCTGCAACGTTGGGAACTCTCCTGCAAAGACAACAACCGTGGAGCTCCAGAGGAAAAGGTRAAAGTCTCAGGGAGAAACAAACCGGCAAGGGGGTGAATGTTAAATAACTATCTGCCTCTTTCCAGGGGCTTGCTCCCATAATCCTGATTTTAAATATCTTTGGAAAATTGATGTCCTCAGCTCAAAAGCAAAACTCTTCTTGCAGTGGTTAAAAAAGAAAAACTGCAAGGACAAAGGAAAAGTACCCACCTTTGAGGGTGGCAACAGCTTCCCCCACTTGACGCAAAAGAAAGGCTCCATCTTCAACATCTTTCAGCGTGACTGTCTTGCCGGTGGCTGCAGAGTCCTTCTTCAGCTCTTCGACAAATCCCTCCAGCTCACTGGTAAAACAGAATGGTGGAAAGGAGGAACTTTCTCTTTATAATCAAATAAATGGGAAAAATGAACTAAACAAAAGCAGAAATCTCACTTGTGGCACCTCTGAAACTGCTATCACGGGGTGAAAAGAATGGGTAGGCCAGGGGGATGTGAGGATGCCAGACGTGCCCCCAGGAGAGGGCCCAGGCAGCTGCTCCGAGGAGCTGATTTCCTGGATGTGCCACAGATGTATGCAACCCCTTGGAACCCACTGGCACCCACTGGAACACACTGGCACCCACTGGAACACACTGGCACCCACTGGAACACACTGGCCTCGGGGTAGCTGGGCTGCAAGAGGCACCTGGGGCGGTAACGAACGTCCAAGAGCCAAGAAGTGGGTATCCACGGTGCCCTGCTCAGCACTGCTGCATACCTTGCATTTTCTCACTGTTGGTGACACATAAAAGGGGTGACAGACCAAAAGGTGGCACTTAATGCCCCCTTGAGGCAACCCTGGTTTTTTGGCTGCTCTTGACTCCTTCTGGACTCTAGAACGAATCGCTACAGATATTTCCCCCAACGGTGCTGCCCCTCAGGCCCCGTTTAGTGCTTTCAACACCCTTTCTAATACCTTTTCTAATGTTTTAACCTTCATCACAGAATTTTTCAGAATCCTCCAGCCCCATTTACTTGATCTTTGGTGGGACAGGGTCCACGTGCTTCCATTTAGGGATGAAATGAAATTGCTTTAGCTAAACCTTCCATATGGGAGCATATCTCAAAAATCCTAGAAGTGCATTATGCCAAACAGAACAAATATTGCAATGAATACCTCAGAATAACCATTCCTTGAATATTTGTTCCAAAAGAAATCTGCCTCTGCTACAATATTTACTTCACAATTTACTAAGAGGAATATTCTGCAAATCAACATTAGAAAGTCAGTTGAACAAAAATAAGAATGCAGAAGTATTCCTGGTACATGTGCAAATAGAAATCATATCAGACCTTGAATACCAAATGCATGCACCAAGAGTTCGGTCCTTGTCCAAAGGCTAGGAAGATAGAATTATAAAATAATTTTGCACTGAGAATTTTAAGTTGCTTCCCAATTGACCATAAATAGAAGCAAAGATAAATGACTATGCCCCTAGTTTAGGAGCCTTCCTCCCAGAGACTTGAGAAGTCTTGAGAAAGTCTGTGAGACTCCCAGTTCCCATTGCACTTGTAAGAAACTATCCAAGGGACCACACGATGGCAGCAAGGGAACGTTACTTGGGCTAATTCCCCAATCAAAGAGGCTGCTTTAATACGAGTATCTGCTATCCCTGTGTCTGTCCTTGCAGTTTAGGAGGACATAGATAGATGTAACCTAGAAAGAAGCCCAGGAAGAAGTCCTTTTTCCATCCCCTCCCTGCCATGCCAGGCTCCTGCGTGATGAGTGACTATCCCTCTCCAGCCCATGTCCTGSCAGGAGTGCTCAGGAGCAGGAAGAAAAGCAGTTTCTCAGATATCCTCATCTCCAAGGAACACAAAGGTTAAGGGAGAGCCCAGCATAGAATCAAGGGTGGAAAGAAGAGACAGGAACAAAGGCCAATAATGTGAGAATGTTTTGGTAAGTTTATGATATYGCCATAAATACCGGGATAAAGTAGAGACTTCCAGCCAGCAGACAGTGTTGTCTGTCTTTCTCTTTTGTTCCTTCAGCAGATGAGGAAGGGGGTAACTAGAAGCCTTTGATTCCACACAGTGATGCTATCAAACCAGACAGCTGATGCTGAAATTGCTCAGGGGATACCATATTTTACTGCCTCCTGTTGCTAACCACAAGAGAAGAGGAACTTCAGACCTCAGGACCCAAAGATTTCCACAGATCCAGCTGTTTCCAGCATTTCCTTTTTGTAACTGAGGAAACAACACAGCTTTAAAGCCTGGAATAAGCAAACTTAATTAACAGGACACTCACTTTTGTGCAGGTTTAGGAAGATAATGYGTGACAAATGGATTTTTGCATCTATGTTTACCACAGAGGAGCTGAGGCGAACTCTTGTGCTTTTTCTTTAGACAAAAAGCATCAGAGGATCCATCTCAGATCGCACTATCAGTAAAACAAGTTACAAAACAAACTGACAAAATTAATAGCAACAAATCACCGGGACCAGATGGCATTTACCCTGGAGTTCAAAAGCAACTCAAGGATGAAACGACTGAACTACTAATATTAAGTATCCAACTTCTGGATTTAAATTGTTTTGGCACCAGTGCAGCAGAAAAGCTCACAGATGATACAAATATGTATTTTTTAAGGGGTAGAGCTACCCCTCTACAGCTACAGTTCAGGGAACTGCAGGCTAGTGGGTAATTGGCATAACTGGTAGATACTGTATTAATGAACAGTATTAATAGACACATGGATAAATGTGCTGTACTGGGGAGAAAGTACAGCAGGAGAACAAAAAAAAGGCAAGTCTCGAATAAACAAGGTCCTTTGAAAGGGCCAACAAGAGTGTGGGGGCAAGATAGAGGCTTCCAGCAAGGTACCTGAGCAAAGGTTTTAAAGAAAGAAGTTGCCATGGGACAAGAGAGAAAATTCTCTGATGGATAAAGTACCAGAAGTAAAGGGAGGGGATAAATGGACGGCTTGCTCCATGAGGAGGGTTTGCTGGCGGGTTCCACGGGGATCTGTACCAGGATTGGTGCTTTTTAACATATCATAAATAATTCAGAAGAGAGGATGAATAGAGGAGTGAAAAAAATCTCCAAAGGTTATTAAATTATTCAAGAGAATGAAAATGAAAGCAGAATGCAGAGCACTGCACACAGACCATCTGATAGTAATGGACCGGGAAAAAAATTAGAGATTAAATTCACTGCTAAGAAATGTAAAACAATGCTCAGGAGATATGGAAAAAAAAGCAAAGGGAAACCAACAACCACGTCAGAACCTTGTTTTCCTACCCAGTAATAAACTTTGAACATAATACTAGCACTTGTGAACGGGATCTTGGCTTGGTAATGGAAAGCTCACGTGGAACATGAGGCCAGAGAGCATCGCTTGGCTGCTGCATGAGGAGCACGTGCAGGGCCCTCCTCTGCCTGCTCCCATCTCCCACGGGGGCACTGCAGCTGGAAGGGCACAGGTGACACCAGGATGCTGAAATGTATGGAGAGCCTTCTGCAAGGAGTGACGTTGGAGAGCCTTCTGCAAGGAGAGATGCATGGAGAGCCTTCTGCAAGGAGAGATGTATGGAGAGCCTTCTGCAAGGAGAGACGTTAGACAGCTGAGGACTTCTCAGGCTGGAAGAGGCATGAGCTGGGGAAGGTGAGGAGGAAAGCCTGTGTAACACCATGAGCAGCACGGATAGGGTGAATATACTACCCTGCCTAATATAAAAGCTTGGAGACAATTGTCAGATGAAAGACTAAAATGCAAAGAAAAAGAGGCTCTTGGCACCCAAAAGGGAATTGCTCTACATAATTCCTTGCCCTTGCAGGTTACGCACAACAAAGTTTACATAAATGAAGCAAAAAATCCCTGAAGTTCATGAAAAGCAAACGGCCCTCCTAGCACCTTCATATAGGAGGATACTATCTCTGACTTAGAAAATCCCTGAGCCACAGTTGCCAAAAGTGGGAAACGCAAGTCCATGCTCCTGCATTCCTTCCCAAACACCTGCTACCAGACAGGCTCCGAGACTAAGCGCACTGCTCTTTTTATTGAGCTTTGTAATTTTTACAAAGATGTCTGAGATTTCTCTTAAAAACATATAGATTTCAAATTACTGTGGGATGTAACAGGCACCTATCAGGACAATTGAGATGGTTGTATTTTACATAYCATGCTTGCTGATAAAAAAAACTCTCTTCAAGGGCTCATAATAATCTACAATATACACTACTCACACAYGGAAGATGCTCCTCACTATATAAATACTTTATTAGCCAATATATCATATTGTCAGAACTTGCCCTTGGCCTAGGAATTTTTAAGGCCAGTATCTGCAATCCAAATATTGTCATATATTTCATAGCAGTGAGTAGACAGCATCRAGAGAGAAAAAATACCCAGTTAAATTTGAGTGTGCTTTTCATTGTTACGAGCACGCATAAATAGTGAGTTTAACAGCATTCCTTGGATTTCATTCACTAACTCTGAATTGTAATCCCAGTACAACTTTGGCACATGTGGACTYACATTTACAGGCACCATCATTGATAGACCAACAGAAAACATGCTCTAAAATCTGACATCTCCAGCATTTACAGCATGAAACTGCCAAGATTTTTGTTTTTAATTTCCAAAGATAATCTTCAGAACACCAGAAAGCAGGATTTACTTTTCCTTATGCTAAGACTTAAAGAAACCAAAAGAATTTTCCTTTTATTTCTTTAGAAGAAAGACTCTTTTAGAGCACCAGTTTGTTAAGTATTGCAAAAATCCTCAAGCTTCCTGTCTTACATAAAGCCAATGCACTCATTTAATCATATGATTTAGGGGGGGTTAAGAGGGCAACAGTTGAAAGACTAAGTAGCAGTCATTTTCTTGCCCTGTTGCTCTGCATTTCTTTCTACATCTTGACATGCAATTGTGTGATGTGCACTCTTCATTAAAAACAGCCATCAGCTGTTGAACCGAAAGCACTGTTAAGAGATCTGCTTCTTTCGGGGTCTGATCCTGCAAACATGCAACTATTGGCAAAAGTTATACTAGAGAAAACTGAAAAAAAAATCAACACTGGGATTTTTGTGTTTGCTGAAGGGGTCGAAGTAACATCTTCAGACTGTGAAGGTTCTAAAAAACCTTACTTATATCATTAGAAAATTAATACTGCTTTACCATCTGTGTTTCTGAGCTGCTCTGTAAACTGGCATAGCGCAACAAGAGGATGAGGAGGCTGGTAACTGAGCTGAGGCTGCATAGAAGCAGCAGAAACTCTGAATATGGAACAGATACCGACTGTTGATAAATAGAACCACACTGCAATCAAAGTTGCATCCTAAATGAGCAGCTGTAACAACTAACACCCTTGCACTCGACCTCATTTAGTATCCCTTTTATGAGGCAGCACTATAAACAAATATCACACATRTATCTCCTTTCCTGGAGAACAAACAAGCTCAGAACTAAGCAATATAATGCACTTGAATAAAGTGATGAGCAGGAGAGTAATCACTTAAGACCATAACACGATATAATTTAAGGCCATAAACTAGTTGAGAGGATTATATACACCAGCATRGACTATTAATGTGCATTCAGCTTTTCTTCACAGAAGACACACGCTCCCTCAGTTATCTTATGCTTTATCTTTATAGATGTAATATTTTTACTGCAAATTGTACTCATCTGGCAACACACTGATCAACACAAAAGATTTACTTTCCTCAGCTGTCAATAACTGTGCTCCTATGGCTCTTCAATCATCATTTCCAATGAAAAGCTTATTATAAAGCTCGGTGTCACGGAGCAATTCTTCTGATGTGAATTAAATTCAGTAATGAAAAATAATTAATTGTACAGCATCTTACAAATGTCAGTGTTAGAACTAGTTAAATTGTCTATTGATTTCAGTTTCATCTTGTCTGTTGATGACTCAGAGCGTGGACTAAAACAAGCAAYGTGATCCCACCAGTCATGATATGCCACGGTATTGGGAAAGAAGAGTCTTATGGAAAAGCCTTCACAGAACTTAAAAAAAAAAGTGAAAGACCTTTTTAACTGCCATCTAGCATGTGGAATTCCCAATGAGTCAGCCTCAGAGGGATGCTGGCATTGCTGATTTTAATTAAACATCTGTCCCCTACGTATGAGTTTCCCTGACATCCCTATAAAACAGACAAAGCATTTACTAYTGAAAAATGGGTTTTTTTTGGTTGTTTCTTTTGATTTTGTTTTTTAAACTTAACATCAAATTTATAACCTTTCTTTGCATCCATTAGCAGCTTAAGGAAATTCCTTGCTCTTTCTCTGGCCATGTTGCCCCATTAAAATTTAATGCTTAAAGTTGAAGGGGAGGAGGAGACTCCCGAAAGATGGAGGGAGTCGTGCACCTTGCAGAAACTTCTGAAGAGGCTGAACCCCTTCCTACCAGTAGAACTTCCTTTGCTGGACTTTGCTAAGAGGGATTCCCAGTCAGGGATTATGGATTTAGACAATACAGACATAGCTTAACTGCCACTATGAGCGTAAGGAAACAAGAATTAAAACACATACACRGGTGCAGTTCCACTCACGGCAGCGAGGAAAGCTGGCACTTTATGGAGGAAGTAGCCAGGCTTAAGAAACAAAACTCTGAAAGAAATGTCTCCACCCACCATAACTTCTTTACAATCTTTTCCTCCTCGTTGAGGTACTTCTGCCTTTCTTGCTCCACCAGGTTGCGCTGTCGCTGCACGGGATCTTCAAGCCTCTTCACCGTTTCAATCATTTTGCCATTGATTTCCAGCTCTGCTTTCTTCACCATTGCCCTCAGCATCTCCTGATTCTGCAGCTGTTGCACAAAAGAAATCAACATCAATTTTTCCTGTTTGACTGACACCCCTGGCAGCTGAATACATTGCAGAACTGAGAAATAGGTTGGATAAACACAGCCCTGCAGCTAAACGGGCTGTTTTTCCTTCTTCTTCCCCTCTTTAACTTTACCTATAAACACTACTTCATGAAGAAAGGTTGGGAGTGAGAAAAGCCCAAATTTGATTAACTTCCAGTGCGTGCATCTAACTTCCAGCAGGGAGCTGACAGACAAGAGAGGGTTTCACTGCCCTCCCTTCAGTGCAGAGCCRCTGCAGGGCTCGCAGCCCTCTGCCCAGTCCAGCCTGCACTGAGTATTAAGCCAGGTGAACGCTGGAAGTTCGATGGYGTGGATCTCATGTTCCTACACTCTGCACTGCCTGTGCTCACCCCTGGATCATCGCAGACAGGAGCCCAACCTGGATTCCGGCACCACTTTTGGAAGGACAAGACCTTCAACCTCTCAAACRTCCCCAATTCCTCCCCAAAGCACCTTTGAAATGTGGTGCTCAAAGTGACAAGCAGGGTTGCATCCAGGCACAGATCTGGGGTACAGGCAAGATGAATATAACCCTGCTTGCTGAGCGGCAATCTCATACTGTAAGAGCTGCAGAAACACCTGTACCACTTGGGAAACTAAGTTCCAGTTTTAGAACCAGTTATCAAATTTTAGTTGTCTTCTAAATATGCAGGTTTAACAGTCAAACCACATTTTGCATAGAGAGCAAACACACTGACTAAAAGAAAGTAACATAAAAAAGGGCAACAGGAAAGACAGCACAAGGCAACAAGGCTTCCTGCAAAATTGATTTAAGGGAACTTAGGGGAATCAGAGGGAAAAAAAAAGGCCTTTGCYAGGTCACTCTTCCTGAGCAGCTGGGCATTAGAGGAGCAAAGTGAAGCCTCTGCTCCTGGCTCTTCAGTCCCTGTGTGAGCCRCTGTCCTCAGCCCCATTCGACATGACGAGAGGGAAGGCAACACTTCAGTGAAGTGTTTCGGGGTCTGTGCTGTGACACGCAGGAGGTGCTAGCRCTAAACTCAGCTGAGTGTAAGTGTAAGCAGTTAGAGAAAATAAAGCCAAAAAGTCTTTAAAACAGCAGATTTATAAAGCTTGCCAGCTGCTTCATACCAGACGGGATTCTTCTGCAGTTAGTGCATTTGTGCATTTTTCTCATTATGGGTTAGCACTTGGAGTCGCAGTGGGACCAGCTCAGCTCTTTGAGACACACACGCTTTTTTTAATTGTGCCACACTTCCAAGATGGAAAACAAATGAATGAGTTAGTGAATGAGCATGTAACACTTCCCTCGTGGTGTAGGCAAAAAAAATCCCCATAAAAACCAGGGATATCTGACACGGGGAAGTGACTGGGAGAATATGAAGCAATTTGTGTGAGGTGATGGAGGAGGCCAATGACAGAGTCAGAACTCAGCCTTAGGTATCCAGGATTTCAGGCCTGTGTTCCCTGGCCAGCAACAGCAATTTCCAGTAAGGCCAAGTAAGGACTGTGGTGGGGAAAGAGCTCAAGAAATAAAAAGGCAATCCATCAATATTCCAAAAAGCYGGTAGGCTGAGGCGTCCCAAATGTCAGTGTTTGCAGTGAGAGCTTGCAATCTGGGAAATGACTCATCTTGGCCACAGAGATGCCTCTGCCATCCATAAGACAATTCTCCCAACATCTGGCTAATTCTGGAAAATCTGAGTTTTTCCATGCTTGGGGAGTGGGGGAGAACACAGGCAGGAAAAGACACAAATGGATGCAGAGAGAGAGCAGAGGAGCCACCAACAATTCAAGGGTCTGAGCAGTGCAGAGCCTCCAGCCAAAGGGGATCCTAAGGCAGAGCAGTCAGAAGCAGAGGGGAAGAGATGTGGGCGAGGAAGGGCAGGCAGCCCCTGCTCATCACAGCGCGTTTCCTTCCACAGCCTGGAACCGAGCTTGACATTTGCCTTTCTTCTGCCAGCAGGTATCAGGTCTGAACCTCCCCAAGTGCACAGAGCAGCCCTGCTGATTACTTCCCCACCTCAAATGGAAGATGTTTTGGGGAACTGCTGGGATATTCTGGTTCCACAGAGAAGAACTTCTTGTATTTCCAGTTTTCTTGAAAACAAGTCAAATACACAATCCTGGGCATTCACACTTAAGCAGCAGCTTGGTTAAAACACTTTTCCAGTTCTGAAGTCAGAGGCTAGGAAATGCAATTCAGACTTTCTTGTTGCTGCCAAATGACAATTTCTTGCTACTTAGTGTTAACTTGGCTTGTAACTGTAAGCAGCCATCAGACATACATAGCTAATACGCTTTTGTAGAGCACTAGCAGCCTCTGCTATACCTAACACCTCTGGCTCTCAGTCTTGTCCTCCTTTTGCAGCCACTGCTCCATCTCCCCCTTTCCCTTACACGTACCCCATCATCACCCTGTCACTCTGAGAACAGCCTGATAACCAGCTCGGTTAATTTTAAACCATTTCTTTTTCTTTTTTTATGGAAAAGCAGGTGTCCGTTCTCAGCAGAAGACACAACATACCAAGCAGGAGCTTGTCCCACGAGGCTGGGAGTGCTCCAGGGCCTCCCACCTCCCTGTGCACCGTGGAGCACATCCCTGGCAGGCACCGCTGTCTCCTGCTCCACACTGCTGTGCAGTCTGCTTAAACAGGTCCTAAAGTGTGTGCCATGCAATTGYCCTAAAGTGTGTTCGTTCTCAAACCTGCCTCTAAGGCTTGGGAGAGCAGAGTGAACTGTCCCACTAAGTTATTGTCCTRCAAGTACAAATAATAGAAATAATGCACACAGATCCCGGGCTGGGTTATGAGGAAAGCTTGATGCCATCAAGAAATCTGGAGTATCTCTGAAAATCTGAGATTCTTAAGGAAGAAGTTATGTACTTACAATTAGTATCTCTCACTTCAGCAAAAGYCATGATGCAAACGTCATTATTTCAAGACTTTTTAATTAAAACTCATCATACGACGGAACAGTCTAATCGTTTGGTTGAATCTGGTTACACACGCTTTTTATTGGTGTGAGAATCAATTCATCTGGCTGGCTAAGTTTAAAAAACAGTATTTTGCCAGCACACACAAAGCCGACATGAATGAATAAATGAATGAATGACTATTTTCCATCTTGTTTTTCTCTAGTTCTATTAAGAAAATGAATAAAAAGTTAAAGGGATATCATCCATTCAGAATTGAAACACGGATAGTATTAGATGTAGTTTTATATCTTGTTCCCGTTTCTTAGTTATTCTGCCAAATTTTGTGCCTGTGTAATCATATTTCTCASTTCTTTTGAAGTGTTTCTTTTAGTCTGTCACTGTACAAAAAATTAGCACAAACAGAACAAACTGACTGACTACCCAACAGAAACAGTGAAACCRAAAAAATGTGAAGTACTGTCAAACATATGCATAAAACCTGGAAAAACAAAAAAAAAGAGACTTTTCTCTTACTTAGAATGATTTTAAACAAAATGGAGCACAATATTTTTCCATCAGAAGTGTGATGATTGTTAACAGAATTTAGTTTAAAACACTATCTGTTCCACTCACTCGATTACAAGCTGTGAGCTTTTTTCCAAAATAAATCCACCCATTCAGGGAAGTCAATGTCATAATTTATATATAACACATGACAATCTGCCTTAACCTATAAGTTCTCTAAATTTCCTACTTCCTATTGGCACAATGCCCTGAATTTGGTATCACYTTTGGAAGAAGAAAAGGGAGACCAACCACATTTAATAAGCATGTTCTAGTTATGCCTTGTTTTTTTTTTTTTTTTCTCTTTTCAAGACATAGGAATCTTGACAGTACTGGTTGGTATGGATGGCTCAAGTTTCTTCATGCTGGGTAAGACAAGAAGAGGGTCTACCACCTTGAGCAGGAGACTTGCTGCAACTGGGGCAACACCAGCTCCAGTGTGAGTGGGCCCTGCAAGGGTGGCCGGCTCCAGCCCTGCGCTGCTGCTCCCTCCTGCCTTATGAAGCCTCAAGTGCCTTCCTATGTCTCTTCATCACTTCAAACTGAGCACCTGTCACCACATCTTCAGTCTCAGCCACTGCATCTTTGCCCTGATGTTTATTCCACCCTTCAGCTCCCTCGATCTGTTGCTGGCTCGTAATTCACTTTCCTCTAGTCAAGGAAGCAAAGGCAAAACATGCTCTGAATTCTCATCTGTATTATGTGCTTGAAACTCGCCAGCAAGTCAACGGTGATTGATATACCCAACACTGTTTCTGAATTCAAAACCTCCCCTGTAGTAATAGCAATAGGTGCAGCCCTACAATACCAAACACTGGAGGTCRCTTTCCAAGCCAGAAGGACTGTCAGAATATTGAAATTTTCACTGTTACCTGCCTTTCCTCACAAGAAATTACTTTATCTCTTCTTACATCTTCCAAGATAACAAACAAGTCTCTTCCGTTTCCAATTAAATGAAGGGCTGAAGAACTGCACAGCTGCATATAGTTATTTTCATAGTGTGTGAGATGAGAAGTATATATTTACATATGTGGCATGAGTGTACGTGTCAACAGAACATTTTGGTTAGCAGCTAATCATTCCTGTTGTTCCTTGTAGGTTCAGAGGTGCTGTTGCATTAAGAAGGCAGATGCAGAATGTACTTATGGCAGCAACAAAACTCTGCAGTAACAATCGACACCAACCATTTGCTCTGCTGCTCCAGTTGGCTATTTTTCTGAATTCTCTAAATACAGGACTCAAACTCTGGCTCAATTCATAGCTGCATTTGGTTTTCCTGACATCAAAGTTGTTTATTCAAGAATATAAAAACTGTACGGAGGAGGGATATGCTCTTCAGACATGTTTATACATCACATAGTATAACAGGATCCAAACTATAATCACAGACATGATATTACTATACTATAAATACTGCTTGAACGTCTAGAGTAATCAAATAAAGCTAGAAATTAAATTATATCTCCTGACATTAGCAGCAGTAGCTGAAGCAGGCTACTTCTCATACATCTAGGGGTCTAGATGTATGAGAACAGGCAAGGGGCCTATTCTAGAGCAGTGCAGACTTTTACGTCTGTGATACTTGGGCCTTCCTTCTTCCACATAGAAATCTTAAACCTTCATCTATATACTGAAGAGAGAGAGATGGATGTGGAGACTGGGAACGGCACCTGAGCACAAGGCTCTTGTGCATGGTCGCGCGGCCGGGCCTACCTGTAGCTGCCTCATCTGGTGCAGCTGGAGGCGCAGGTCGGACACGCTGCGCCTCACGCCGTGCAGGCCGAGCCGCATGGCCGGGGCTGCCGGGGCCGGCGCGCCGGCCGCCACCTCCGCGCCGCCGAGCGCCGTCTTCGTCCCGCACGCGGCACCTGCAGGGAGGCAGAAGCAGCGGCCGGGCCTACCTGTAGCTGCCTCATCTGGTGCAGCTGGAGGCGCAGGTCGGACACGCTGCGCCTCACGCCGTGCAGGCCGAGCCGCATGGCCGGGGCTGCTGGGGCCGGCGCGCCGGCCGCCACCTCCGCGCCGCCGAGCGCCGTCTTCGTCCCGCACGCGGCACCTGCAGGGAGGCAGAAGCACAGGCYGAGCTCAGCGAGGGCACGGTGCACACCATGAAAGGAAAGGGAAAGAAAGGGAAAATTAAAGTTGACAGCGTTAGGTAACAAGGGACTCTCGATCCAATAGGATCTTGGGGGAATTCCGTACAAAATGGGTGTGCRTCTCTGCTGCAGCCTCTGCGTGCCAGGACACGGCGTTACTGCAGGACGGCCTCCCACCATGTGTGGTGGAGACGAGACAATTACTGTAACTGCACGTTACCCTAAACGGCAGACAAATCAAACGGGCACTGAAAGTAGCATTGGGATCCCCCTCTCAGGAGCCATCTGAACGTCAGATGATGCAAATTAACAGGATTCCTGAGCTGCCTAGGTTTTGATTAATTATCACTGGAGAGATTCAGTMAAAACTGCCAGGCGCAGGGAAAAGGTTTCGGTGGAGCATCTCGTTTTGCTGCTGAAGGTCAATTTGAACATGTTTATTTGATATCTTCAACAGTTATTACTAAAAAGATATAAGATGAAGAAGAGAAATGCAACAGTGGTGTGGCAGAGAATTGCTTTCCAGCTGCATCACGTTCACCCATTCCCCTTATTTAGGCTGCCATTTATTTAAGCCTGCAGTTAGAAGGAAATAAGCACAGGACAAGSAAGCAGGCTGAGCCACACACTGAGAATAACCTTTGGTGTAACTCCAAGTCTTTCTTCATTAAAATTGCTGTTCCCCCACACAGCATCAATGTCAGGCTTATTCTTCTCATAGTCTCAAGTAGCTGGGAAGAAGCTTTATTTACAGAACACAATCAAATCCCAGCTCCATGGCTATAATAGCCCTGTTACAGCTGCCTCCCGGCAATTCACACTTACACAGCCATATCCACCCTTGTCTTTAGCCTGTGTCCCTTTCCCTCCCACCTCCAAGGGGCAAATCTCCATGCTGTTGGTAGGACAGACTTTGGTGACAGCCCTTGTCACATTCACTCTGTCACCAGGCTGAAAGGACAGCATGGCTTGAGTTGCCCAACTCATCACGTTCTGCCACCCTCATTTCATTTTCTTCCTTCTTTGTGCATAGAACACAAAATCTGAGGAAACTGGGAGTGACTCCTCTGTGGATGTGTCCTCATGGCTTGGTCCTCATTTGCTCCCACAAGCAAAAAYACTATCAAGTTCAGTGCAATCAAACCAAAACTGGAAGTACCTTTCTTTGCCTGACAGAGGTAAATCTTCAGTGCCCAGAAACGTTTATGACATTTTTCTCCCAGGACTGAGCATGTGGCAAAGTGGGCTAGATTTTACCCTACCCACTCACTTGTCCTGTTGGAACAGCAAACTCCCTAGATGTGCCCCTGTGAATACATCTCAGCACAACGCCGTACTGCTATTCCTTTCCCAACAGGTGTGGATCCCTCAAACACCGCATTTGCAAAACTCATGCAGGGAAAAACTTCTTAAAATGAGGGGAACTAGAATTTTTATATATATAAAAATACACACACACACAGAGCTTTGTTTTATTTAAAAACAGGCTGAAGGCTTTCTGAAGAACCACATTTCTCGCTTTCCTCAGATTTGCAATTCCCATGGGGAGGGGTGCGGGTGCCCAGGGCTGCACCCACACGCACAACCATGTGGCCTTCCCAAGCCAGGCACAGCCACGGGCTGCTCTGCACCGCTGTGTGCTGCTGTACTGCTGTACCCTACACCTGAACACGCTCCAGCTAGAGCTGCTCCTCAGCGCTTCAACAAGGGCACTTTTCATATTGCTGCTGACCAAACTGCTGCACATTTTTGCTCTACTTCAGCATCATTCAACACTCTCTTGACTTTCAAAGAGGTGCTTAACAGAAAGCAACACTCGGGAAATAAACAGTGCTTGTTTGCTGCCATTCTGTACCCATCACATACTTCAGGATAATATATGCCAATACTTATCTGTCTGAATGTGCACCACACTTTCAGTTTTCTCTGTGGTCAGATATCTCACCGTTTCCTTCACATGTGTGCTATATTTTGCATTAGTTTTTAAATGAAGGGTGTTTAGTTCTTAAACCTTACAGACAGAAATCACTAGAGGRCCTGAAAAATGTGGAAAAGCCTCCAAGAGTTCTGATCCTTAGCCACAAATCTGGACTATTTTTGAAAGCACATCTACCTTTCTGCTATTCTTTGCCTCAAGCATGAGCTCCAAATTCTGAGCCCCCAGCCCCGACTATGCAGCCAAGGTATGCTCAGTTCTCCGCAGTCTTTTCCCCCATCCTGGACCCCAGTCAAATCACATATTTTCTCAGGAAGGAGTGTCTGTTTTCCTTATCCTGTGGATGGGCTGTGATCTGCTTCTATAAACAATAAATATTTCTTTCCTATAAACCAGTCCCCTCCTCCTCTGCTATCTTGGCCACCTCAGTGCATTGTCACCTACTGGGATGTCCCCRATGGCACCTCTGAAGCACAACCAGGGACTACCAAGGGTATGARGAACAACTGCAAGCCCTCAGTGAGCGTGGGAGCGCAGAAGGGATCAGCAGTAGATGTGTCCAAGATTCACATTTTCATCAAAAAGGAATAAAAGGGCAGCTGAATGAGGGATGCCTTTATCTAGGGAGCCTAGCACTGTCTTGGAAAGAGGCCCAGACTGCAGCTCTGTGATTACATGTATGGCCAAAAGGATTTAGGGGAAAGAAACAACAGCRGCCATGGATGTGGTCTGCTGAAGAAACCCTTGCTGGAGATAAAGGTGGCCTGAAAAGAGGCCTCACAGTTTCATAATGCTCTGGAGACAAAGCAGGAAAAAAAAAAAAGAAAGAAAGAAAAGAAAACAGAAAAAGAGGTTATTGAACTAAGTTGTATTTCCATTTTTAAAGCACTAGGAGAACTGAAGGAACAGAAAGATGAAGTGTTTGCTTTTTACTCAAGCTCAGGAAAGTAAGCCACAGCATTTCCACTCTTTGACACTAGACCTTTGCTACACTTGCACATACACTACTCCTGTTTTTGAGAATTTAGTATTAGCATTTCAGAAAGAGAACTGTTTTGAAGCAGCCTGGAAAAAAAGGGGCTGCCYGAAGACCTCAAGCAGTGTTTCTTCCCTAATTTACTCATTTCCTCATTAAAGAGCTATTACTTTTCAAGTATTATTTGGGGATCAGTTGTAACTGGTTATAGTTACTCAGTTCCCTATCATCAGGTTGGAATCCACTACACAAATAGRTAAATGAAAATACAAATAGATAAGGTTGCAACTCCATCATTAACATGCTGTTACGGATAGATACTAGAGTGCTCTTAAAACAAGAAAAACTTCTTTATATTCATATAAAATTTGACAAGTGATCCAGAATGAATTTGGGATCATGTTATACCTGTAAACGCTAACAGAGTTCAAAGACCAGCAGGGTCTGTTTTCTGCGGAGGATCCAAGATAAGAAAACTGATATGGAAAGTCTTTTTAATTCATAGATTATAGCCATGCATATGTAAAAACACACAGATGTGTAGAAAAGACACCATCTCCTCTGGCTAGCACATACCACAGACAGTGAGGAATCAGTTCTGACCTTCTCCTTGCCCCCATCTCCCTCTCTTGATTTGCACGGTGGTGTTATGCAGAAAGAAATATTCCTTGATCCCTGTTCAGGAAATAGTGAAATGTCCTTCTTCTCCTTCCAAGAAGAGAGCAAATAACATGGAAAAATTGCTTTTCTGGTATTCTGGGATTTAATCAATCCCAGTTTAAACAATTTAATCAACTGGATCCAAAATCAACCTGGCTTTAATCAACAGTTTCATCATTCGATGAACAAAATACAAGAGAAAGAAACAGACAGCAGGTGAGCATTTCTTAGACTATTTGTTAGTAATCTCAGGGAGAATCTTTCTGGTATGGTTTATGTTTTGAGTCACAAGGATCTCTAAATGTAGAGTTCCTTGGCACCGTTCAGGTTTGAGGAGCTGAAGATGGCTACAAGCAGTGAGTGAGAGAGAAATGGCCAACTCTGGGAAGGCTGTTGCACTTTGCTCCCCACCCTCCAGTGAAAGAAATGATCTTAAAGCAATAAAAGCCAAGAAATGCAGACAGCATGATCATTACAGGCTCATTTTCCCTAGAGAATAAGCATTTTTATTTTAGTTCATTTATATTTGATGTTAAAGAASTTTCCACAGATTGGGAAAGCAAAAGCATCTTCAATACAATAATTTGGTTTATATGAAATACCAAATGGAGCACTCAAAATCTAGATATATAGAGGTATCAGCATGTAAGGCTTAGAGAAATTGCTTTCCTTCCCTTCTAAATGATCTGGTCGTATACGTTTTGAGTGAAAGCCTCCTATCACTGAARCACATACTCTAAAACACAATGTTGGTTCAACACTGATGAGCCAATTTTATCTTGCACAGCTGTTACATTGTTCAGGAGGGGAAGCAATTCACATTTCTGCTTACCAGTGCTCTAGAAAGGACTGCTCAATCAACAGTTACACCACCCTTCCTTTAAAATAGTCTTTGAAATTGCCAAATCTGATATCTCAGAACTGGTATTTGAGGAAACCTATTGTCCAATAGCTATGCTTAATAAAGACTGGGGTGAACTGARGAACAAAAAAATGGGTCACTAAAATGCTCCTGGATGCTGCAGGCACATGCAAACCCAAGCACATCTACACAGAGGAGGAGCTTAGTGTTTCCTGACAGAYTGCAAGGTAAGCAGAGACCTCACTAACTTATTACACACACACACCACAGAGTAATTTATGTTGAAAAAGACTTCTCAAGCTCCCACTCAAAGTTGGGCCCACTTAGGTTACTATTTCCAGCTCAGTGGCCCCCAAAGCTTGGATTTAAATTAATCCAAGCTCAAGGAAGATTGAAAGGCCTTACAGTAACACAATACAAAGTGGAACAAAAGACAATATGCATGTATATTTTCATGGATTTATATGGGATGAGACCTATGAAAGCAGAAAAAAATACAAATTATCAGTGTATAATGACATTAAAATAGGGAAATTTGTAAGAGCATTTTGTAGCTGCTTTGAAAAACAATGGACTTTTCAAAAAGATGTCTGAAAGTGATAAAGTAAATCTTGGTTCTTTACAGCCTGATACATAGCTCTCCCTGTCTGGGGACTGGCAGGTAGAGGAGAGGTGGGATGGGGACTGCAGCCAGCTTGGGAGCAAAGTCCCCACATGAAGGCTTGGATGGCTCTCGTGCTTATGCTTGACCGTTTTCAGCTCCGGAGACTGGGAGAACATGATGCAATTCCAGAGAAAGAGGAATCCTGAACGTGAACTAACATCTCCAGCAGAGAGGCCAGTTAGGAACCGAACAGATTTGCTAATAAATGTGTGTGGTTTAACTGCCGGAGCAGAGAGCTCCCTGTGGGAACCACGTTACCAGGAAGCGGGGAACTGCCTTTATTTGCATCCAGTGCCTGACAAACAAATAAGCACACATCCACACACCCTGCAGGCATGCAGGACAACAGCCCTGCACAAGCAGCACCAACCACACGGTGAACTACTTCTGCAAATAGTTTTACTAATCTCACCCTAACTTTGAAATATTTAACAGCTCTCCAAGTAGGAACAGGGATCTAAATTAAGACCAACTCTTACCGGCTTCATCATAATTGATGCTTGCCTAGGACAGTTTAGGAACATGCAATTAATTAGTAACAAATCAATATACTTTAATTAAGGAAAGTGCTATCTTGCTAACTRCTAAATTCCTTAGCCTCGTTACACCTACAGCAACTTACTGACAAAATAACCTCAGAGAAAAATCTAGGTGACTAGAATAGGAATGAAATATTCGGCTTTCTACAGCCATTTCAGAGGTGCCCAATTTAATTAAGAATGTTTTCTTATAGGTTTAATTTCCTACACCCACAAAATAGTTTTATAGGAGGGCTTGAATTACCTGTTCTGAGCCCTAGAGAGAATTGCCTGGTATTSGTTTTATCATACAGAATAATTCCAAAGCAAATATAAGTAATGGAAGTAGGCTGCACTAGTTAAATATTTTAATAGGTAAAAATATATTCAACAATCATTTTAAATATTTGCAGTGCTTCGCTGGGAGCTGGGCAGGGAGAAGCCTGCTATGGATAGGATGGTGAACATGGACTTCTCTCATGCCCAGATCCCACTCATGTACTATATATATACACACACACTGTATATATGTTAGTATGCTATAAATAACAAAAGTCAAGAGCTTCCCAGCCCTGTCTAGCATGCCTGCATCCAGTCCTGTCCATGTGCCTCATCTTCTCTGCCCAAAAGGAGATATTCAATCTTTTGATTACCATGGAGCTTATTTTTTGGATGCATCTGAGGCTAGTGACARTTCCTATTTCCTCAGTCCTTGTCTGGATGCCAGACACTTACTGGAGATGAGATGAATATTCACTGTATGCAGAGACTCTATATCCTACTTAAGCCATTCAGTGCAGGTGTGGAATTCACTCCAAAGAATACTTCACCCTCGTAGAAATTCCTCCCTTAACAAAGACGTGATCAGCTCCCATATCCTGAACGTAAACCTCAATTCTCAGTACARCTAAAAGAGTTTAAGCAAATCAGATATGTCCATAAGATGGGATGCTGGTAACATTGTAGCTATTCATATACAGTAATAGCTGCAAGTTTAAAAGTTTAAAAGTTTAAAACAAATTGACTTACCTGCCGTGTCAATGCTGCTCTTGTTGGACACAATTTTCAACACCATCTTCTCACTAAATAATAATAAGAAAAAATCGTAAATTTAGTTTTCTAATAATAACACTGTGTAGTGAAGCTTATCATCAGTAAATGTAAATGGCCTTGTCTAGAATATATATTTTTAAGTTAAATCACCAGTAGCTTGTGAGAATTTTTTTTAATCAGCTTTAATACAAGTTAAGCAAGGAGTGGCATATTAGCAGTAGAAAGCACAGAGACGTAGCTACATTAATTCCTTTTAACAGAAAGAGTAATGCAGTTAATCTCTATTTATTGTTTGAGACCATTTTCCTCTCTGCCTAGAATTTTCATGGGGATGATAACGGTAATTTTAAAATGATTCAGCATTCAGGATTTTTCACGATTACATTCAAGTATTATTTTTGATTGGTTACTAAAATCATTACAGAGAAACAGATTTAATGAATTCTGTTTTTACCTAGAAGCATCTTTGCTATTACTTGTATTTGGCCCTTTAAAAAGCGCAGACTGAACAAGACCAGTTAAACTGGCAATCTGTTTCTCCATGGCTTGTATCCTCTCTCTGTAAGACAAGAGAACCGTTTGTTAAAGCCAGAAGTATTTGCTAGGTGAAGGATTACCACAGGCCTGGAAAGATGCTACGGGCTTTGTGCTCATGGGTATCTCCTGGCATGGACCTTGTTGCAACGGCTTACGGCATCTCGCTTTGGCAGCTTTTGCATGGTAACAGACAGTAAAAACAAGACATCTGCATGGTTAAAAGAAAAACCCCACATAATAAACTGCTAGAGATCTCACAAAAACGGCACCAAAAACAAGCTAATGCCTCTTGGAACYCGCGAAACTCATTTTTTCAGCATTACATACGTTTTCTCTTTTCTCTGACTTCTWCTGGACAAATAGTTTTTCCTGCTTCTTGTTACTATTTTTACTTTCCTCCAAATCAGGATTTTGTCTGTGAAACATTTAACCAGCCCAAACGGACTCTTTCCCAGGCCAAATCCTTTGCACTTGTCCTACAGCTGTCTGCTCTGGAAAGAACAGCCATGTGGCGGACAAGGCACAGGACACCAAATACTGACTGTGCAGCAAAATGACATTCGAATGGACAGATTTGTTTAAGGTCAGTGTTTTTCACAAGACATGAAGACACCAAACAAGAGCAATGACGTTCTGGGGATAGAAAGACTAGCTTTTGTGTGGTGATCTTTGCATGCTGTTACACGAATGCATGTGGTAGGCGGGTATCAGGTGCCTGCCTTGGCAGCCCCAAACCAGACCAGTATGTATGTACTCACATGCCACTACAGCAAGGGCCCCTACAACACAGCCACACATCCATAGGGAACCTCACACAGGTCCTTCTGAAAGTGGGTCCTTATATGACCCAAGTGAAGTGACCGGGGAAACACACAGAAGCAGATGCTTAGAACAGGCTGTGATGGTGGGTGATGACCAGAGATACAACTTCTCAAAAAGCAAGTGACCGAGAGCAGCGACCMCGACACACGAATGACAGCAGGCTGTGCACCCAGACCAAGGTGCCAGAGGTGGCACCTCCAAGCCCAGGTCAGGCTGCCATCCATTGCTGCCAGGTGATGCAGGTGCAGGAGCAACGAGCGCTGCCTCCAGCACCAGTCACAGTTTGGTGACCAAAACAGTGATGCCGTTTGATAAACACAGGGCAAAGCGAGCGGAGATAACACAACGTGAGCAACCAGCCAAGTTGCCAGTCAGTCAGCTTGACTAATCCAGACTATTCCATTCGCACTCTGGGAATGAAACAGGTTTGCTGGGACAGCAAGCAGGTGGGAGACACTGAGACACGCCGGTGTTAAGGCAAATGGAGAGTAAGACAATTAATGAGGTGCCAAACACAAAGGGTGCAACAAGAGACCGCTCATCCAGCCCTCGGTCGCCTGCCACGCTCTTGCTGCAGCTTCACATGGTGTGCGCTGCCTTCTCGGCTCTCCTCATGTAAAAAGATACTTTGAACAGTGATGGGAAGACTAGTCGATCTGGTAAGAAGACTAGTCTAATCCATTTCRAACCAACCACTATGTTACAGAATTTCCACTACTTTAAGTTTTAAAAGAAGAAACTGGTTCAGGCTACAGTGACTTTTGGAATGAAAGCAAGTACTGAAAGCCTGGGATAAACATATTCGAACCAATTTCAATGCAGCATTTTTGACACTTAATAATGAAAACATTTTTTTTCCCAGATAATCATCACAAGCCCTTCCTGGAACTAAACCCAATTGGAAGTCTATCTGCATTACCAATTCATAAATATGATGTTTTTTCCATCCCATATTTGATAATCTGGAAACAATTTTCTGCTTCAAATGAAATTACAGAAACACAAAGTTGATCTTGTCTTTAGCCATGAAATCTAGGAAAATATGTTGTTAAGATGGAGAGGGATGTTCCAAAGATTGGAGATGATAAAAAAAAAAAAAAAAAGAAGAAGGAAATACTGGAATCAATTGAATAGAGAACATTATTTTTCATATGCTAAAAACATTAAGAATGCAAAGAATCTGTGGACGTTCTGGAGTTATTCAGATAGAGACAAGCCAGGTTTTTTTTTCACCCCCTATTTTTTCATTCTAATACCTGGACTCTTTATAGTCATTGACACCAAATATTTCTAAAACAGGTGTCTGAAATGAGACACCTTTTAGGAATTCAAGTGACCTGATTTTCAGAGATCAATGTTTCACAGCAGACCAGCAACAGGGTTCTCTCCACGCTGCTGTAAGCACCAGTGTCACCTCTCATGGCATGGACTGCAGCCCCCTGAAGAGGAGCAACAGGCTCTCCTGCTTTTTCACCCATTTCCTCTGGTTCCCACAAGAAGGGCTGGCAGGAGTCCCCATTCCCAACATCATAATGGGCCAAAGGAGTTGGAGGGAGAGAATAAACGTTCTCCTCAGCCTATGCCAGAGATGCAGTGCTTTCGCTGTAAAACTTGAACATTTTTGATGCTGAACACTATATTTCCTACTTTGTCCTTGCATTCAGGTATGCTGGGTTGAACTGGACCCAGCTATGGGTCCACACCAAGCACGAGCCATAGCAATGGGGACTGCAAGCCCAGGAACTTGCCCAGGAACATCTTCTTCAGAAACACCAGTGGCTGGAAGAAGGGGCTTTACAGCACTTTTTTTTTTTTTCTTTACAGCAGCAGTTCCATGGTCCCTTCCTACAGTTCAGGATAAATTTGCACCTCTCCAACATGAAAGCAGAGCAGGGAGGGACACTTCTCCAGCAGAGAGGAAAGYTGTTGTATGGGGCTGGCATTGCAGCTCTGTGCTGTTCCTACAAGCACCAGGAGAGCCCAACCAGAGTGGTAGAGGACGAGGGGAAGGGTCTAGACCAGAAGACCCACCCTGGTTCCAGCAGGCTGCTCAGACAGGCTTGGCTTTGGCCTGTCAGAGCGCTCGGCCAACAGAGGATGTGCTTGGTGCTCACCAGGCCTGTGCCACCTCTCCCGACCCCACACACGTCCAGGGCCTCAGGCCCTGCCCAAGGATCTCCCTCTCCAAACTCGGTACAATCAAAACAAGCCCTTGCTCATCTAGGAGCTACACCGAGACATCAGATTTCATTATTAAATTTCTTCCCTACATTTTCTTTGAGGTTTCATGTCATTCTTACAGTGCAACTCACTGGATGTAATCCCAAGCAGGAGGCAGTAATTGCTAAATCAGTACCTTCTGCTCACCACAATGCTATCCAAGTGTGACCTGCATGTTCCTTCCCTCTCCTGAGGACAGGTTTAATACTCACATCACTGAGAAGATGCCTCGTGCTTTGTACAGACACAGACCAGAAACTGGGCTGTACTGTTCGTTCATGTTCATATCCTACCTGTTCATACCCGAGGCTGTGCAGTGCCTCGTCCATAACAGACATACTCAAACAGCAAGGCCGACACCATGAGCTAATTATCAAGCTATCCTGGAGAAAAATTCCTAGTGATTTCAAGTTTTATAGTTAAATTGAGTAGAGTCTGTACTGTAATCAAAAGGTCAAAGAGAGAAAAAAAATGCATTTCTTCCTACATAACCCTATGAGAGAGACTTTTTTTTTAACTTTTTTTTTTTTTTTTAATCTTACTGGGGAAAAAAAGGCAGGTTATCTGTGTAGGAGATTAGACATTTCAATCTTCTAAAATTAAGGTCAAATTCAAACTTCTTAAAGCTTGAATTTAAAGCAAAAAAAGGAAGCTCTGGCATATGTGATATTTTACAGCTGTAGTTCAAGAGCTGGCTCTTCACACTCCTCCAGATGGTTCTGCCAAGAGCAGGAGCTTGAAGGGCTGTTTATCCCTCCTCCATCCTGYGCTGGTCACCCATGATCATCCTTTTTGCCCCATCATCCAAGCCCGTTCATAAAGCAACTCGCAATCCTGGCCTTCTGCAAGGGCACAGTGCTTCCAGCTGCCAAGATGTTTTCTGGAAGCTTCCAGATTGCAGAGTCCTGGCCWCAGACCTGTGAGGGGTGCAGCAGACACAGGTTTCTATGGTCAACAGTAGTCCTGGAGGGTGATGATCACTGCTCCATCTCCAGAACTGATGACTGCCCACTGCTCCCTCCTGGCGGCAGGAGGCCACTGAGGGCGGAAGKTCCAATGGGGACTATTCCCTTTCCAAGCATCCCTGTAGGGACTGCTCACCCATCAAACCTGACGTATTCAAAGGGAAAAGCTCAAAGTTTTCCTGAAACTGAAATTCTGGAAAAAAAATGCTATCACTAAAAGCTAAAAAAAAAAAAAGTTTTTTTACAATCTATTCTACTATCACCACAAAGCCCTTGAGAAATAAAGCCCTGAAAATATCCACCATGCTTCTCTCAGTTGGGTTTGGACTCAAAAGACTGAGAGGGCCTATTTGCAAGGGCTAGTAGCACAATTCTCAGTGCATCACTGTCGCCTTTGCAGAGCATGAATTCAGTAAATATTTTTTCCTMATGAATAGCAGAGGCCATCCATTCTTAAAAGAATCCAACAATAAAGCATTTTTATGATGGTAACAAAATCCAATATCCTGGATGTGGCCATGACACTTTAGGCGTACACAAAAGGTCACAAGTGGTGAATGTGATCACATCTGTTGTTGTGCGAACCATGTTCTACCATCAACTCCTTCCACTAGAATGTGGCATAAAAGGAAGAGGACCAAAGGTGTGCTTGGGCACAAAAGAGCCCGCAGTCTGCTCCTGAAATGCTTCTGGAGGAAAAGGGATGGATAACATTACACTGCTATTTCAGAGACTGTGGTAGTGAGTAGCAGCATTTACATGTTTTCAGCACTATCAAATAACCTACAATTTTGCAACACAAATTGTACTTTACACGCAAAGAACGCAAGTTAAATGGCATTTAATACAGCTAGGTTAAAGTTACTTTTGGAAGAAGAACTTATTTTCCAATTTCTCAATATTTAAACATCTGCTCTGGCTGCAGTAACTTCCAGAACTGTCCACCACAAGCTTTATAAATGGTCTAGTCAAAAAAAAAAAACCAATCACTGCAACAACAAATCACTGTTTAAGCAGCTCATGGTTACTCACAAAAATGTACTTATCTTCCTTTAAACCTCCGTTTTAAGGAATGATGAATGTTTAAAGATGAGTTATTGCAACCTGCTACTACWTTAATACCTTGTGTGCGTAGGAATACAATTGTATTTCACTTATTGAAGTCTCTATGAGCTTATTTCCTTTCTGTTTTAAATGAAATTCTTCTGGTAAATGAATTAGTAAAAGAATTTATTCACTGCTTTTATACCACAGAAGTAGYTACCTTGAAAACACTTGAGGTAAAGCTCATAAAAGAAAGAATTAGGTGAAGCAACCCACATACTAACCTCCCCCTAACTCAGGCTTAAATAACAGGTTTGACAAGACTGGCTTCCACAGTGCAAAATGAAAACTGGAAACTCCAAAAAGAAGGGATGGGAAGTGTCAGTTTTCACCTTTTTCAGTCTTCTATGGGCTCAAAACTGTTAGCATTATGCAGTTAGCATTACAGACACAGCAGTCCCATTTTCTTCAACAAAACCTGGTTTTGACCATGCCTGAAGAGGAGGAATCCAGCCCTACACCTCCAGTCCCTAAACACCCTGACTCGCAGAGGTAAATTCATGCTCAGGGGTGAAAACAGTCAGGCCTACACTGCAAGGTACAGGTACTTTGCTACTTTTTGAACCTCACCTCCTGTGTACTTTTAATGAAATTGTAACAATTCAACCAATACTGAAGCAGGAAATGATCATCTTGGCCTGCATAAACTTAGCACATTCTTGGGAGTAGTTGTTTTCTGAGTTTATAAAATTGTTATAAAGCTAAAATAACTTTTACAGCACTCAATTCTGCAGTGCTTACAAAATAGACCTATTTGCATTAACTGTTTTTGGTAATTTTTTTTTTTTTTAATCATAGTTTTTCTAGGTTCAAAAAGAAGTGCTACAACCCATAAGAAACAGTTCTCAGAATGAACCTTTCAATATAGTTTGGCTAATACACACTCTGCTGAATGTATGGGCATGTATATATTTGGAAGTGCAATTACGCAGATGCTATTTTCATCACTGTAAATACACCTCAGGATCAGTACTAAAACTCCTGGTGTGAAGCTCCCCTTAAGAAGCTGCAGAGCTGTCTGTATAGTCACCCTTTGCATATCCACAAGTATGTATACACAAATACACAAATATACCATGCATATCTGTGTATCTGACTGCACAGATGAGATGTCCCAAGGGGAGAAATGAAGTAGCACAGACAGGAAAGTTGGTGTCCTCCCTTATTTTCAGTCCTCCTTACCCAAACCTTGCAAAATTATATCTGAAAGCTCTCTCTTGGAGTAGAAATAGCAAATATATATTTCAATTTATTTCCTAGTTGCAGCAATGGAACTTGAAACGAAATGTCAGGTATATGTATCATTTCCTCTGAAATAAAGACAGACCGTGTTTCACTGACCCTGGACTGGATTAGCCCCTCACTTACACCCGTGTGCCAACATAACTACCCCTTTTTTGTTGTCATTGGGTGGGTGCTTTCCCTCCATCCTCATCTCTCTCCCAAGAAAGGGACATCAGGACATATCCTTCTTTCTGGCCTCACACGGCCAGCTGCAACTTATCTCTGAACAAGCGGCTCGGACAGGGGGGACCCCCCAGGCTTTTAGGAAGCTCCATACCAGGAGTTGAGGCAGTCAGCAGTTACCTTTGGCCCTCGTGAGCTCAGCACTTCCCAGCTATTCGTCTTCGCTTCCCTAAAGAGCGCCATAAAAGTGAACAGCACAAACAGCACACTGGAGATCAACACACAGCAAGCGACGGGCAGCGCAACCGCTCTGCTCCCCTTCGTGGATCCCGGTGCTCAGGGAAACGGGGGTTCCAGCACGGAGCCGGAAAAGCCACGGGAACGGCTGTCTTGTTGCAATCACTTCCCTGGGACAGACTTGCTCATCTCAGCAATTTCCCCTCGAGGAGCGTTATTATAAACAACTGTCCTATTTTTATGCAAATTCATGCTTTACAGGAGATGAGACAGTGATGATAAATTCTTCCCATTTCCTAACGCTAGATGAGAAAAAAACTCCACTCCATAAAGAAGCAAAATTGTAATATCAGAGTGTCATTCTTAACGGGAGGTGAAATACATCCTCTTATTAACAGGGACAGAGCATCATTTGTTCTTGTAACACGACTGGGTTGTCTGCCAAGAAAAGCCCTAGTTTATTTCACTCTTCCCAGCGACTGAGGTTCACACAAATGACAAGAAGTGGGGATTCATCACCGGTTGACCACCCTTTGGGGTGAGGAGCTGGCCGGGGGGCGGTCACGAGCTCACCATATTCCCCGGGCGCCAGGCGGTGACGCAGGGCACGTGGCCACGAGCGCGTCCCGCGCCGCCTTACCTGGTCTCCTTGTCCTTGGGCAGCGCCGGCGACCCGTAGCCAAAGGCCTGTCTGTCAGTGGGACTCGGCGCCACCTCGGCCATGCCCGCGAGGCCCATGGCGCTGCGCGCTTTCGCCTCCGCGTACGCGGGCTCCTTTTTGAAGGACTGGCGGCTGGGGGAGGACCTGTCGGGCTGCATGGTGTGGGGGGCCACGTGGGCGTTGTGGTGAGGGTGCACGTCGACCATGCGCACGTCGGCCGCCCGGTGGGGCGATGCTGGCGGCGTCTTGGAGCTCAGCGTGGGCAGGTGGCTCTCCGGGTACTTGCGGGATTTCTGTCTGTACAGGGACTGCTCCAGCATCTCGGGTGGCATGGCGGGGTTGCAGTAGGTGCTCGATGACCGCATGGCCCCGCGGTGATAGGCCACGACGTGGTCAGGGACATCGAGGGGGTGCCCGCCGTGGGGCACTGCCACGCTCATCCTCCCCTCGTGGAACAGGTAGGGGTCTCCATACAGGCCCTCGTTGCGGATCAGAGTGAGGTTTTTGCCGCTCATGTCCTCATCGGGCTTCACGTCCCTCCTCTCCAGGATGGCGCTGGGGCTGGGCGAGATGGAGCGTGAGGCCGGCAGGCTGGAGAGCCGGTCCCGGGGGATGGTGGCGTTTCCCGGCACCCCCAGGGGCCGGCCGCCCCCATAGGGGATGCGGGACGGCGAAGGCGGCATGGAGTGCGGCACCGGCGTGGCCGGCGGCGAGCTGGGCATGGCGTGCGCGGCGGAGCCGGGCCGGGAGCCGCCGGGCCCCTCGCGGCCCGCGTAGGCCATTTCCCTCTGCATCTGCAAACAGAGGGAAAACACACAGGGCGTCACGTTACTGAAGGAACGGAGTGTGACACGAGTCGTGAGCGCCTTGACATCAGCTACAGAAAGGAAAGCGAGCAAGATCCCTCCAAAAACATCAAGAAATTTGGCATATAGATAAGTGAAATACCTTGGCACTTCAGTGCCTGGAGAAAATAAAATCCACAAACAGCAAGAAAATGGACTGTGTGTTAAAGGWGTATGAAAGTTTTAAAAATGCTTTTATTTAGCAGAATATCATTTTATATTAATCTCATCCTATCCTCCCCAAGCTGTGATCACAGTTTTTAGCACCTGGAGCTCTAGGTACACAAAACAAATAGTGGGCTTGAACAGTTCAGTGATCCAACAAGCACACGGGCTACAGTTGACTGATCCCAAACCAGAAGGAAGACACTGGTGTTTTTTTGTATCATATATAAGTCCAAGTCTTCGGTCAAGTAAAATAAGTATCATAACCAACTGGCCATTTACTTCATAGCATGAATTTGCCTTTTCTAATTCCTTGACATGACCTCTATTTCTATGAACAATAATGTCTTACACCAAGCACAAGGAAGGACATGCGCAAACATTTTGTGACAACAAGATATTTGAGGCACGTGAAAACGGTTAGCCTATATAATGCACATGCCAAAGGCTTCCTGTTTTGTGATGAGAGATAAGAGTTTCAGACACTTTGTGGACCATGTGCTACAAAAGCAACTGAACATTTTATTACTGTCATATAAACAGCAACAGTCGGTGCTATCAGGAATGAATGAACAAGCAAGGAACAGGAAGACACCTGCACATGAGTGTTTTGTTAAATAGCTATGGCAGAAAACTGCAGTGAAAAACATGCATTGACTTCTGAGACCAAAATGTCCCACCCTGCCCATGAATGACCTCTGTAGGTAACCAAACATTGTCACTGATAGCCCATGTCACTGATGGGCACAAGATAAAATCTTTCCCTAGCACACAGGCACTGCTGTGGTGCTTCTAAGGTCGGGGGAAGAAAACGGGAGATCAAAGTCATCTGGAAGCCATCATGGAGGTAAGAAAAGGAAGGGAAAAAAAAAAAAAAAACCTTTTAAGATGCGAGTTGGCAACCTCAACTGTCCAACACCACCACTTTCAGGTGGGTCTGGAAAACTCAGTGTCACTGAACACATCCCTGAGGTTATGCAGCGCTCAGTAATTCAGAGTGGAAGTTGTTGATCTGAAATCTTCACCATTTCCCTGCTGCTCACTCCCTGTTTTGACCATATGGCTGGATCCACTGCAGTTAGTGATCCATGGCTGACAAAGCAAGAAATTATATTCCACTCCTGCCCCACCACAGGTTTTTCCACTGGTAAAGGAATTACAATGGCGGCATATAAACAATTGCTGTTCTCATCACAGCGGGCTCCACGCTTGGGCATTACAAACGACGTTCCCCAAGGCCAGAGATCAAAAGTTTGCAGTATCAGGTATCAGGAAGAAGAAAGAAGATAACCTGACTTTGGTCGCAGCAATAATAAATAAGCCTAACAGAACAAAGGAGTGCGCTGGGATGGGTTATAAATGAGCCAGACAAAAGTCTTCCAGCCAAGGAGTTGGGTCATTTTTCTTTAATATGCACAGAGGAATACTGTCATATGGAATTTGAAATAAAACACAACTAAACAGTACTAATACAATTATCAGTGGGCATTCTACATAGTTGTCCATCCAGATTCACAAAACACTGCAACACGCTTGGCTGTATTGCACATTCAGATGCTAGACCTCAGCCGAAGAATGAAAAGCCTCCCGCAGACTCTGGGCAGCTTTGGGGTCACAGCTCCAGGGAGATGCAGCTAAAGCTACAACAGGTACACGAGAAGTATTTCAAGTCACAGGAACCACAGACACAAGGCRGCACTGGGTTACAGTGAGAGGGTGAGTCCAGTGTTAGCAGTAGAGAGAAAATTTCCAAGGAAAACTTTGAAAATGACAGGTTTAATAACATATAACCTCTGGACCTCATATTCCTGTATGTGCTCATTAATGTTTAAGTCAAATAAAAACTTTAAAAAAATTCTATTTTTCACATTCAAGTATTGCCATACATTAAGATGAAAATAAAAGAGTTCACACATAGGTCTAAGCTATTGCTCAAAACACAACTGGCCAGAACTTGACATTTACCCTATGCCCACATACTGACCTATATGCCCCTGTTTACTTTTCGCTTTGCATTAAAATAGCACGTAGCTCAAATGGAAGCCTTACTGGGCTGGGCAGGGCACAGATCCCTGCGCGGACAACCCCTTCCTGAAAAGTTCACATACTATTTTAATACGTGACTCAGTCCCCGGGTGGAGCGTKCCGAAGGGGAGCAGGAGCAGAGCCGCAGAGTCCAAGGGCGCCCGCGGCGCCAACACTGGGGCCCGCGGCCTGCGCAGCGACGCGAGCTGGCGACAGGGTGGCGGCACTCAGCCTGTCGTGGCGATGACAGCATCCGCTTCCACCTGCTCAATGTCTTCACTCTTCCTGCCTCCCTCCTCTCTAAACATCTCCAGATTCTTCTCTAAACATCTCCAGATTCTTACCTAATGCAACTTCTAAAATGCCTAGCATGGTTTTCTCATCTATGTCTTCTTCAGGATATTCAAGGCATGCCCTTCCTCTCATTTATACAACTAATTCTCTGCTGTTTGCTTCTTCCTGCCCTCTGCCTCACAAGTTCTGTGTCGCTCAAGGCCAAGACATGTTCTAATAGGTGGGCTGTCCCAGGCCACATGTTCTTAAACTGTGCCGCAGAGGCACAGAGAAAGAGGATTTGGGGCTTATCAGAGCCTGTAAGTACTATGTGCTATCTCAGCCAATTGCTTTGAGGGCAAAAGGAAGAAGGTTTTAAGGCAAGCATGGGATCAGGTGCTTTCCAATGGCAGCTATGTAATATATTTGCCTCAGGGTGTGGTTTTCTTTAGCACATGGCTCTTCCTTGTTCTTACCGCTCACAGACTTTATATCCCTGAAGCAGAAAGTTGCTTATTGGCTCTTCAGTTTGCGATATGGCAAAAGTACTACAGTTTTTGTACGTAACATTAGAGGGGWAGGGGTATCACTCCGATTGTTTTTCCACTTCCTGTGTAAAAGAARGTCATACCCTGTTTAAGCAGCTCCTTTGGAGTTCTCTTGGTCAAATAACCCTTAAGTCTTAAGACTTATACTAAAAAGTATGGATTTGCATTTTCTTTACAAATGGACCAATAGAGAAATTGGTCATGCACTGAACAGTAAATTGTATACAAAAGTATCTGTGTTTATAATTTCAGAATTAGTTTGCATACTCGACAAGTGGCTGCATTTTGATATGCAGAAAGGTAGGAAAATGGCCATACATTCACCCAAATATCTTAGAAGAGCCCTTAGAAAGATTGTCCTGTGCTCCCGGGAGCTCCCATAAGGGCCAGGCAGACCTGGCACCTCTTCCACTGCAGAATACAAGGCTTATTCCCTCTCCTGGAGCCTTAACCATCACAGTTCCCCTAAAATAAGGGCAGTACTACCATCATAGGCCTCATGGGTTGCAAAGAGCAGCTGCACACACCTGGGTGCCAGAAATGCAGCCTGACTGACACTGTTACCCACAAGCATCTCAGAGCAAACGACAGGCACAGGGAAAAGTGGGGCAGGATATCTGACCTGGCAGCCTTTCCCATTGCTCTCCCCAGCCTCATCTATGTCAATACAGAGTACAGCAATTGGCTTTGTCCCAAGAATTTGAGCCTGCCAAAATATCTAGATGATCCCTATTCATCTACACACCTTCCCCGTGACACCCTGGGGTTTCCAGCGGACTCCAGTAATCACCTCTCAGGTATGTGAAGCTATTACTTTCTTACTCTCCCACTGACACTCTCGGTTGCCCTGAGGAAATTGCATCTGCGCTTTTCAAGCTGGCTCACCCAACAGTAAACTTGGGACACTTGCAAAGAACTTCATCAAGAGCTTGGAGAATCCGTGATGAAAAAGCTACAGAAATGCTAAATACTGCTACAGCGGTGATTAATTCTTCTGTATGTAAGAGACCTTTTAAGGAAATCACTCACCAAAAGAAAATCCTCTGCAGAGTGAGGTAATCCTTCACTTTGCTAATCAGGGAAAGATTAATTAAAAGAGCTTTAACAACAGTACACGCCATTAGTTTGCTCTTTCTTTAAAACAAAACAAAACACCACTATGGTATCATATCTGTCATGACTGGTCTTTCTTTCACACTGGGTTTGCACATCTGAAAGTACAAATCAGCTTTGGTAAAAAAACCTGTCAGATAGTTCTGATATTTCTAAAATATTATCATTCACAATAAGAAGCAGTGTATTTGAAAACTACAGAACAGACAGTAAGTCTGAAAACAACTGTTAAACACATATAGATTGATTAACTATCTGAAGCCAAACCCTCCTCATGCTATCAGACTTCACTGAAGGGTTATCACACTCGTCTATTCTTGGCTATTCTTTGTATGTCTTTTAATTCCTGTAAATTCTCCCTTTGTGTCAGGCCATTACAGAAAAAATAGTTGGCTGCAGCTGCGGGCTCCTCCAGCTGCCCAGCACCCTATGAACAACTGCAAACACATTAGCAACATTTATAGTTTGTTCTGCTCACAAAGTTTCCAATGAAAAATAATTTTAGCAGACAACACTAATTCACTAGAGCTGAAATATTTGGTAGAAACATCAGTAAAGCAAAAGTTGTTTGGAAAAAAAAAAGCAGATGTCAAACATGAACAAGAGTTCTTATCAGACATTTCTGGACTGCTCGAGAGTTTTGGATTTTCAGATTCATAAACCTAGGGCAATTTGGCCAGAGTTTGCCCTGAGGCAGAGTGCCCGGCTCCTCCACAGTCTCATCTGCAGAGTATGTGACAGTTTTAGGATGGTTTTCTAGACTGTGATAAAATATGCCAGGGGTTTCAGTGTCTCCAGTTCTCTAAAGTACTTCCATACTAGAAG